ACCTCCCTGTGACTTGGGTGGGAAATGGATGAGGCTCTATCCTGCGGTGATTAATGACTCTTTGGCTTTGTTTGCAGCCACGACATCCTAAGGGCTATACAAACACCAAAGCAAGCCAAGCCCTTGGCCCAGAGAACTCACGCCCTGACAAGGCAAACAACAAGAATAACCATGGGAAGCACTGTGAAGCGCAGCTGAGGTGGCTGCATAGGTATGGGACAAAAACCAGGATGTCCCGGAGCGCCGGGACAAGTCGTCATCGCTCCTCTGGTGCGGTGCTGAGGCCTCTGTGAGGCACCACTTCACAAATATGATTGCGCACTGCGGTGACGCATGAACAAAGAAAAATCAGGAAAATTTGCATTTCCCCAGAGCTGAAGCATCACACCAAACCCTGCTGCCATGGAGCAGACACAACAGCAGAGTGCCCTGGGTGCCAGCGCAGCCTGCAGAGCAGGATTCCCTCCTGCAGCCCACCCTGCGACTTTCAGCCATCGCTGCTCTTGGAGATCCAACAAGTCTTTCTTCTACTACGTGAACTTTGGACCATTTTCAAAGAAGAGTAAGTCATAAAAATGGGCAAGTTCTTGCAGGCAGGCTATTGTGTCGTACAGACTGAGGCCTACCCAAGTCCATAGTGCAACCTGGTTAAACAGCACTTCATTTTCATATTGCATTTATCGCACACAAATATTTGCCTTTGCGCTTTCCGTCAGTAATAATGACCCATTCTCAGAGCAGCTGCTTCTCCGTGCAGGCAACACCAACCAGTGCATCCTTAAACCAGAGGGTGAGCAGCTGCGGCAGAAACCAGCGCTGCTTGACAAGTTGAGTTTCCGTTGAAAAGAAAGGGGCAGCCTGGGCAAGAAGCACGGTCACAGCCGAGGACGTGATGAACCAGCCATCTCCGTTTCCCTCTTGTCCCCACCGCCCACCTCCTCCGCGCTGGAGAGCGGCCCCTTGCAGCTCGGGGCGTGGGATGGAAGGAGGTCTGGATTCTGCGGTCACAGCATGCGGTGGCAGGAACCTTCCTGGCTCTGGTCACCTCAAACACCTCCTGGAGACCTGGTCACACAGGGAGCAAGTTGACAAGGAGGAGCAGGAGGAGGACAGCCTGGCAGCAGGGGTTACCTTTTTGTTGCATCTACGCATGTACCTAGTACAGCAGGGTCTTCCACCACTTGAACTGCAAGGGACAGATGGGTAAACGTAGCAAAGCGACTCAAACGTGATTCCTCTAAATAGCGTTAAGGTATAAATGCCAGAGGGCACAATTTCAAGGTTTTCGTGATTTTCTACGCTGTAGTTATGCGCACATCCCTTTTAGCATCTGCACTGGTTCTTGCAGAGTGGTCAAATTACATCCCACTTTCCTGAGCTTGAGGGTGCTTGGCATGAGAGTAACAGGCAATAGAAACAGATCCTTAGGGCCACAGTTAATCTCTCCGCTTGACCTGCATTTCTTTTTCTTCTGGCATACCATGAAGAAAGCCCTGTGCCATAAATGATGTCGGTCAGTACCCTCGAGATGGCTGATAAGCTTTGAGTTCTACTGCCTTGTGAAAATGTGGCGAAGGTTTGTTTTGGTCCCATTTGTGGGAAAGAATGAATCACATCAGGAAGGTGATACTTAACATGAAAAGAAAAGTGGCAGAGGTTTCTTAAATTGTGGATTGGTTCAGTTTTATATGCATTATATTCCTTTTATATGAGGTTCTGTAAGATTTTTCACATGTTCCAGGGGAAACTGCAAAGCAATGAAAAACTCTGCAGTTTCCCTTGCAGGAACTGTTCCTGCAAGGGCATTTTGACAAGTGAACTAATTGAATTACAGTAACTTTGAAACCCATGCTGTTAACAACAGAATAAATCCAGGAGTTTAGATCAGATATTGTAGTTTTGCTCTACTGAGTAATTCCTTTGGTCCTGATCAGAGTGGGAATACTGGACCAGGAGAGCCTGTGATATAACACAGCATAGACATTTTTAAGCTCTTTTTTCCCCTCTCATCATAAACACTGTGTATTTTAGGAAGTTAAAAGATAATCTATATTTTAGCCAAATTTTTTCTAGGTTACAAAGAATTCCAGATGCTTGCACTGAGAAACTTTCCCGATAAAGTAAATATTACAGAGTAGTGGAAGAACCCATCCCATGGCCACAGAAGGGAAGAGTAGTCCTTAGCATTAAACCAGGCAACTGGTTTATTGCATATTTGCAAATGCACCTTCTCACAGGCTTTAACTCCTACCTGATAGAAACATTTATGCTTTTCACCGGTGTTAAGCAAGGAAGGGATGTGACTATTCTGTACAAAGAAGCTGAGCAGATCATGCTTCAGAAAGCAAAATAGCGGGTCCTCTAACAGGTGCCCAAGACAAATCACTTGGAAAGATCATCTTGTGGCTGAAGCACAAGACAAGGAGGGCTGAGCTCTCCTCCCAGCAGTTCTGCTCCAAGCTCCGTGTGTGACCTAGAGCAAGTCATGAATTCTCTGTTCCTGTTTCCTCTTTGGTGAAAATGATGACGATGATCATGTCTGTTCTCAGCAGAATTACGAGTACTCATCAACTTACATTTCCAAGTGTTTCTCATTCTTCGCAGGAAATATACATTGCAAATATCACTGCCTTACCACTACCCCACCATATTGTCGACTCTAAACAGAAGTGCATCAGACAAACTTCAGCCCTACCACACCTACTGTCACAATTTGTTCCATCAGAACGCAGCACTCTGATAAGAAGCCACTGTTCAAATCAGTCAAGCAAAGGAGAACCTGAAAGGCTGGCTGGGAGCAGCATCTCTCCAGGCTTGCCTTGCTTTCACATTCTTGACTTGCAGGTCCTGCTTACTGTTGCAGACAGCATATTAGACTAACGGGCTCTTTGACAAAGTATGGCTTATCCTATGTAAACTTACACTGCAACTTTCCTGGAGCCCCCTGCTATTTGGTACTGCTACTTGTCCAAAGGCATTAGCAATGGAAAGTTGCATCCTGTGCAACCACTTACAGACTCAGAATTAAGCACATGTTGAATGCAGTGGAAAGACTTTACACATCAGCCCCAAATAAATACAAGTTCCCTGTTTTGCATCCTCTGAAAGGCTATGAATTGAGAGGTGAGAAATAACGAAGAGCTCCTCCTGGCTCCTAAATCAGGGTACCCGAAACATGCTGGGAGCTATAGCATGGAAAAGGTTTGGTCAAGAGTTGAGCAGGTTCCAGGCAATGAGGAGATTCCAAAGGGACCAACTGCCCCAAATCTAAATGGCTCCAGAAGGAAGCAAATATGTAATGGTTAGTGACCTGAAGCAAAGGTACGAAGAACATTGAGGTCTGCTCATCATGCTGCATTGATCACAGTCCTGAACACCAGGGCAGAAAAAAAGAGACAGATAAAGAGGATGCTGAGGAATGGGACAAACCACCTGAAAGCTATGATGTAAAAATCACTTTTGAAATATACAGGCTCATTCATATACATATGGAGGACACCTGGAAAGCAGCAATTTAAGAGAAGCCTAAGGACCGAGGGTGGACAGCATGAAACATATGTTTTAGAGGGGGAAAGAAGGCCGGTGTGGTTTTAGGCAACATATTTAGGACCAGGGATCCAGAGGGAAGGCTCTCTGGACTATGCGGTCAGACATTAAATTGGAAACTGTAGACAGCAGAGGGTTTTTTTGTTTTCTTTTGGTTTTTTTTATCTTTTCTTTTTTTTTTTTTCCTTGAAGCTGCACCTTGCTCTCAGGGAACCCAGCCATGGACTGGTTACAGCACCATGTTGAAGGAAGCACTTAAAAATGACACAACTAATCAAGAACAATGAGATGCAGAGAAATACTAGAAGTTCAAATGAAAGAAATACAAATTGTAGCGAGGCTGCCAAATATTGATTAATGGAGAAAATAAAGTGCCTGTAGCTTGGGATTTGCAAACAGTTTAGAAGGGTCTAAATAACCCAAAGGGAAAGGAATAATTCTTAAGCCGTATAATTAGAAAAAGCAAAGCAAGATTCTGCAAATTTAAACCACTGGAGGAAACCCAATGTATGCCATTCACAAGGCTGAGCAAGAGCTGGCTGTAGAAAATGGTCTGTCTGAAAACAGGGGAAGACCAGCAACGATCCCAACCGTAAAACATGCTGACCATGAGCCACCTGGCATTGCACAAAGCTGCAAAAAGAGCACGCTCAGTTTGCAAACAACTGCAGAACCAAACCTCGCTCATGTCTTTCCCCTTACGAGGAAAGGGCTGCCCTTTTGGGGGAGCTGACCTGGGACCGGGGTTTGGTTCCCAGCTCTGTCACGAGCGGCACGTGAACCTCCAAGCGAGTCGCGTAACCGGTTTGGCCTCAGTCTTCCACCCGTGGACCTGGGGTCACAACACCGTCCCACCTCCGGGGCTGCTCAGGGTTTGCCTGCATTCGGCTTGGCGGGGTGGTCAGAGCACGAGGGGGACTGCACCCCTCCGGGGGGGCTGAAGGGCTGTGGCTGGGCTGCGAGGACCATACACGCTCATCCCACGTCTGAGGTCCAAGCATACTCACGCTCTCTTGAATAAATCTGCTTGGTAGGGTGGAGTCTGCCTTATTTTTACTCTACATGCAAATTATATCCCTCAACAACCTCACTGCAAATATTTTCTGGCTTCTCACACCCTGCCCTGGGCAGGAGCAGACCGTTTTTGCTGCAGATCCTCTGGCTTCCTTTGGAGCTTTGGGTTTGGGCTGTTCTGATTTTAAAGAAGCGAGAGAAGCTTGCGAGACAGGGCGAGTCACAGGGAAAAAACAAAACCAAAACCCGAACAACCAGAGGGAAAAAAAAAAGGCAGGCGAAGCTGTCCTGCTAAAACCCGCTCCGCCAGCGCCGGCGGTGCAAGATGCCACGAGCGCCGACTTGGCCACCTCCTCCGAGCGAAGGACCGAACCTCCCCGGGTGAGACGCGACACCCGCCTTCCCCCTCCTCCAGCTCAGCCCTGGCAGCACAGCCTTACCTGTTTGCCAGCGGCAGCGAGGCAAAGGAGAAGGAGCCAGCAGCCTGATGGGACGGGCATGTCTGGGTGTCCGTCTCTGCCTCCTCCTGCGGCTCCTTTTCCTGCCACCGAAGAGAAACTAGATTCTTCCAGCCAAACCCCCGCGCCCCGGCAGCAGAGCGAGGCACATTTGAGCTAGCTACTTCTCTTTCTTCCTTTCCTTCCTCTCAGCTACATGAGGGGAGAAGAGAGAAGAAGCAGAAGAAGAGAGAAAAAAAAAAAAAAAAGGGCGCCTGGCTGCAGTTCCCACAGCATTTCCTCAGACTTGACATGCAGGTTTTTTTTTTTCCCCTCTTCTTGTCCCTCCCTTTCCTTTCTCCACCCCCTTTTACAAGAAGTTTAGTCACCAAGCCCACGTCCCTCCTCCTGCCGATGGGGACCGCTTTCCCAGTCCTTTTTGGCAGGGCCACCCATCCACCTGCCTCCCACCCTCTGCGCCCTCCTCTTACCTGGTGCCATCCCTCGCCGTCCATCCGTCCTGTAACCGCTTTGTCTCCCCACCGCCTCTGGACGTTGCCTTACGCTCTCAGAGGACATTTTGGGCCTCGGCCGTGCCTCAGGCAGCCTCCTGCCTCGCTCTCTGATCCACCCTGGTGCAACCACCCTCCTGCCGGCAACCTGCCCCCGGCACTGGGGAAAACCTCCCGTCCCGTCCCATCCCCTATCCCATCCCTGCTTCCGTGCAACAGCCCTACGGGTGCCAGCCTCAGCGTTTTGGCACAGATCCAGCCCCCCCCCCCCCCGCCAAGTACTTTGCTTTGGCTGATAGCGGGAGCCGGCGGGTGGGATTGCTGCCAGGGGAAAGAAAAGCAGATGATGTGCTTCAGGAGCTCTCCTAAAACACCCCACGCCGCACACGGGGCCAGTCCCCGCGACCCGACTTGGGACAGCGCAAAGCGGCTTCTTGACCCCCAAACCAGACTCATGGCCAACACCACCGGCCCAGCAGCGACCGCCTTGGCCGGCAAAAGAGCGGCTGCAGCCGGTGGCACGCCGTTCAAACCCTGGCACGGACCGCGATGCCCCTCGTCTTGCAAAGGGAGTGGGAATCCTCTGCGGTGGGGCAGGACAGGGCAGTGCTGATTTATGGAGGCTGCGGATCTGGCAGAGCTGACTGACCGTGTGAGAGACTTCCCTGCCTCCCTGCGCTCACACGCCGCTGTGAAATAAGCCAGGAGCGTGCTTCTGACTTGAGCAAATAAGGGAAGTTGTTCTTTCACTTGTGTATTTAGATTTAACCCTTGACCAGGAAAAAAAAAGTTATATATAAGTTGCTCTGCGTTTGCAAATAAAAAAATAAATTCAAATACAAACGATGAAGAGGATCTTAAAAGAAATCCTTTACCTGTGCTGCTGTTGTCTGATTTCTGCTCAGAGGAGCAATGCTCAGAGGCCGGGAGCGCTCAGGACAGAAACGGCTGCTGAGTTTCCCTCCTGTAGCGAGCACGGAGGGTCTGCCTGCTTGGCAAAATGAAGCTATGACCTTCACTTCACCTCTACATAGTTTCCAGGGACCATAAATCCAGACCTTTTTAAATCTTCCTTTCAACACTTAACACCCTCAATGTCCTCTGCAAGCGTTGGGCCCTGCCCAGTCGGCGCTCAAGCAGGTCTCGGTGCCCACGTTCCCCTGCCTGCTCTCTGACACGACACGGCTCTTTGGGCGCAAAACCCAGTGGGTTTGATGCTCCACAGCGGGCTATGGGGCAAAGGGACACTGCACGGTGTGCCTGGCTTAGGGCCTGCTGCCCGTTCATCTCGAGAAGAGCTAGAGCAAGGGACATGGTGATGGGTTTTAGCAAGCCGTAGAGCTTGCAATGGCAGCGTCAGAGCCCTGTTGACCTGCCAGAGGAGTCAGGGTCTCACCACACTTGGGCTGGACAGGCTACAGCTCTAGTACTGAACAGAAATTGAGTGGGAGGCGACGGGTGGGAGGAATGGCCGTGGCACCCAGCTTGCCCGCTAGGCAACACAGGCAAAGCCAACTTCACCAGCGGCTTTGCAAGTTAAGGCTGGAGGCGTGGGTGACGTCTGTGCCCGGCCGCTGGCAGCGGTGCTATTCCCCATCGGTCCTGGAGGGAGCCTGGCGAGACGGCGGAGCAGCGCCGGGCGGAGGTCCTTCTGCCAGAGCCACGGCCACCCATCGCCAAAAAGTCGCAGCCCTGCGCTTGCCAGGGTGTTTTAAAATGTTCATATTTAAGGTACAAGGAAATGTTTCTTTTTAAACAGAACAGTCTGTTAAGTCTCTTCCCCTTTTCACATTTAGCACAATACCAAGGCTATAGGCTGTGTTTATTTACCAGCTGCTCATTCTAACCACAGATTTACAGGAGCAAACTCACACTGTCATGAGCACTTCGACATGTTATCGGCTCACTCGGAAGGTGTTGAGTAAAGGCTCTGAAGGCGCTGAGTAAAGCCAAGCCCTGTTCAGCTCACAGAGGAGCTCCAGACAGTTCAGTATTGCACATTAGCTCAATTCCTTTTGCCTTCTCACCCCTGATCCTGCCTGAAGTATTTCTTGTTCAGGCTGAAATTTCTCTCGTTTTCTACCACTATGTGCAAACAGCCTCTTTTTGAAAACTCAGACATTTTCCTCTGAGTTAAATTTTATGTTTCTGAGCCAAAACCCGCAGAAGCCACTACTGGGTGCTTTATAGTCTTAATTATGTATTGCAGTAGATCATTAGAAACTGAAATGTGAATGCTTGAAAATATGAACTAGGGAACGTATAGGAGAAAGTGCTGTCAATGCTCTTAACTTTATCGTGTATATCATTCTATGTAGCACAAGCAAAAATGAAACATTTACACCCGAACTGGCTCGTCAGCTTTTTCTTTTATAGGAAAGATTTATTCTTTTCTATTACAGAACACTAGGTTCTCTGTCACCTTTGCAAAACACCTATTTTGAATAAAACGAAAATGCTTGAAATCGGAACGTTTCAAACTTACAGTAGCGTTCAGGTGCCTCCAGTTTCTGCTCACCACTGTGGCATGCAAGCCTAAACTGGACTGGCCTTCGGGATGCTCATTCTAGAGAAGAGATATGGAAAAGCATGTGCAGCCCTAGAGGTGCGACAGAATCAAAATACTCCCGTGGATAATATCAGGATCCCTTCCCTGGTGAAGCCTGCCATGGAAAACAAACCATGAGCACAGCTGACCGTTTAGCAGGTCTGTGGTCAGTACAGATCTCTTCTCACCTCCTTCCTAAAGAGAGAAAAGTGGAAAGTACATACTAAATAACAGTTTAAAAGAACTTCAGCATTCAATGCAATACTGCAAGTTTTGTAACTGTCTGAAAATGAAACCACTTCAGCATCTGTGTAAGAATGCCTCTTTTCCAGGAGCTTGGATAAACGGTGACTTAACTCCCAGGCAAATCCCTGAATTTGATTCCCTTCTTTCTAAAACTTTCAACCTGAAAAGCAAAGGTAAGGAATGGTTTGGTGGATCCACCAGGTGCCTGGGCATCTGAACAGCACCTGTAGGCTCACGTCCCCATCCCCTGCTACTCCTTCACTTTATCTGTGCCGCCGAACTCCCCTGCCCCTTACTGCACAAGGGCCCCAGCCCCTCGGGATGCCCCATTTCCCCAGGAGGGAGGACTAGGAGGCTGCGTGTTGAACCTGGGTCTTCGAAACAAAGTGAAGGAAACCTGGGTAGAGAAGCAAAACCAAAAGGCACGTGGTTGCACCCCTGGATGCCTTTTCACACCACACAGAAAGGCTGTGAAGGTGCTTCCATTCCCTTGCCTCTCACATCCTATGGAGGGATAGGGGATGAGACGAAGGGTTGGATCAAGATCAACGTTTTTCTTCCATTAAATGTTGTAAAGGTTGGTTGGGGTTTCAGACTCCAAACTAAATACAGGCTTTGTAAATATGAGCACCCGTCTCAGCAGGTGAGCGAGAAACCCATCGCATGTGCGAAGTTAGCATAAGCTCCAAGAAAGAGCCCTGTCAATCAGGGGGATGCTTGGGGGGCAGGTGGGTCACAGTGCAGCTGATGGAGCATCAGCAACCCGTGCACAGAGTCTGTCACGGGGCCAGGGAGAAAGGCTGCCTCCAGCGGGCCATCACCCGCGACGGGAGAAACTCCTACTACATCATCCAGTATGTGGAGCTTTCTCCACTGAGCTAAAGAGAAAAAAGGTAGAAAAATACCTGCACACTTTCAGCACAGGGGGCTCTAATTTCAGCTGAGATCTCTAGCTATTAAAATTAATCCATTAAAAGAATTATTTTATTATTTGCCTAAAACCCCATAAAAATCATACACAAACCCATGCCATCAACTTGAAACTGTTTTCTTCCTGTGAAATGCAAGTTTCTGTAATAGGCTATTGCTCGACCTTCTTGAGATTTTCAAGCACACAAGTATTTCTCATGACGGAGCAACTATAACGAAGCTTCTTAGTCACATTGGTGTGGTTTATGCAACACACCTTTTACAATCCCACAAAAATGTACCAGTGCTGGATGCCCGTCAAAAACCTGAAGTTTGCCGCATTCGCAAGAAAAAGCTCACAACCAGGCACCACAAATGCATCAAATACTTGAAGTACGTGCAAGCACACATTGAACTGATAGGTTATCACCAGCCACTGCGGCAATAATAATGCCTACATACTTCTGTAAAGAAATACAATGTCATGGTGAATTTTTAACTTTGAGTGTTTGTTCATGTTTGTAAGAGACGCCAACCTGATGACCTCCAAGACTTAAGTCATATATTCATCCTCAGGACAAGAGCAATACTGGCACGAACTGGGGAGCTTGCTCTGTCCTGCGTGGAGATGAGTCTTTAAGGCTGGCAAACACCCACCAACTCCTCAGCAAGAGGACTGAGACCGTAAGTCCTTTGAAACACCGTGCAACACCCCATTACCAGTTCCACAGAGTCACCCTGTCATTTTATCTAAGAGCACACTTAATCTTGAACTTCCTTGAAAACTCACCTGAATATCGAGATGACTCATACTTGGATCAATAGAGTGCATTATTCATCCCTCAGCAAAGGATCAAATCTAAATGACACCTTATTGCCTATTAAATGCTACAGCTGCTTCTTCCCTCTTCCCACTTCCCAATCCCCTTGCAGCACATTTAAAGGGAAGGTGTAACAAGTCCGGCAGAATCACACACACAATCCTACGAGGCACACGCTACAGCTGCTGTTACTTTAGGACTCCTCCTTCACATTGCCTCCACCTCAGCTGCAACTGAAGCTGAAGAAGTTTCTCAGATTTTGGGGAAAGGGAAAAATCTCCATTAAAGTGCAGGGCAAAGAGCAGCAGCACAAGACCGCAATCAAAATAATTTTGGGACACGGTGAGGAGCACATGCAATACCAGTACTGGGAAAGGAACAGCCAGACCACCGTCATGGCATTGGCCCTTAACGCCAATTTGTGAGTCACCTTTTCAAGTCACTGACTTCTACGGTAGAACTCCTCATGAAGTTTCTAGGAACTAGAAATCTTCAGTCTAAGGAAGTCTTTCACTACATTGGAAGTACGATAGAAGTTCAAACTCGGCACGTTAAGACAGATGCCTCCGAAGACGCAGGCTGTTTACCACTGACTTGCCTGTTTGTTACAAACTATACAAAAGCAGATTCATCTCTTCTTACAGCTTATCTGTAAGCATGAAACCTGACTGGCATTAAAACTGAAGGCAGAACACTTTAGAAACAGTTTCTCCGGAAAATGATTATTCATTCATGGTTAGTCATCGAGATTAGTTAACACATGATATATTAGCATACAGCAGTAAAATCCAGGACTTAATTAGCCTACTTACTCAACAACACCACTCCTCCACGCCTTTGTTGACCAATTTTATAATTTAAAACACATTAGCTACATATCCGGATGTGTTTGCTAGAAATGTTAGCCAAATGCACTCAGTAAACCAGCAAACCAGTTTCCTTGAAGTCTTGCTGCCTGGCACCACACTGCAGTCCTGTAATTCATCAGCATTTACATCTCATGCAAGAAATTCTGTGATTCTCTCTCAGATCAATTCCATGCCAATCAGCTTGTTACATGAGCATATTAATGATTTTCTACCCCACAAAGATTTACTAGTACTTCATGGTTTACTTAAACATCAGCATCAGTAAGTTTCACATGGGAAATGACTCAAAACATTTTGAATGCATGATACCCACCTTTAAAAACTGCACTAAAATGTAGAGCCACTTAGTCCTGGAACAGAAAACTGCCATTAACGCTGTCACAACACAGAAAACAGAAATATTCCACACTTCTGCTTTTTCCACACCATTTTGAATCATCTTATCATCCATATGTAGCAATGAATTCCTACAATATATTACAAAAGCTCCTCCTTGCTCTTCACAACAGATCTTCATGGATAATTTTTATCTTTCAATTTTAACAGTTTAATTTGCAAACATCAGCTTCCTCATTTTCTCTAGCCACTAATCCATTCAAAAAATGCTTTTAATTCTAACAAGAGTATGTACATACAAAAGAATACTTTTATGTACAGCAACAGCAGCATTTTTTCTCTTCTTGGTGTGAAAGGGGAGTGGAAGAGACAGAAGAAGAATCTGCAGCTTTTCTTAAAGAGCTCCCTTTATTCACCTTGATTAGAAGATAGGAAAAGAGTAATTTTTCTCATTTACAGTTTTAGAAAACAATCTCTTTCAGAACAAAACATACGCATAATATCAGTCAGCCTTATGTTTAATCTACAGAAAACATGTTTAGATCATGAACACTTAATTCAGGCAGCCATGTACCTTCAGCCCACTGATCATCTTTGCTTAAGAGCATGAGTCAGTCCTTTAAAGAAAGATACTAAGATTCTGAACTTACACTAGGGGCAGCATGAGATCTTCAACATATCCCTTATTTAAAGTCAACAAGTTGTAGAAATACAGGTAAAGCTAATAAAGCCAACTTTTTTTTTTTTTTTTTAACAGAATCCTTGTTTTGGAAAATCATAAGCAATTAAGGATAACCCTTTGGGGATTAATTGCTTTCCATGCTGGATATAAAACTGTCTTCTTTTAATCAAGTATTTTCTCCCAAAAGGTTTACTTAACTTGTTTTGTATAACAAGAGGGAAAAAAGTTAATTTAAAATGTTCTGGTAATTTTTTTCTTTAAAGATTCCTCACTTTTCTTTCCCACTCCTGAATGCTAGAGAAGGAAAAAGAAAAAACAAACACCACACAGAACAACTTCTTGCCATCTTCTTGAGAACCTGTCAACATTTGGTAAACTAACAAACACTTAAAAAAACCTCCTGCAACCAACGTATACCAACAGGGACCTGAAATTTAGGAGACAAAACTCCTGAAGACAACCTGCATAAGGCTTGTTGCCTACACAGATTTTTATTTTTTTTTTCACCTCAGTAGTAACCAGGACAGGGGAGCTGGTATTCCTGGGATTCTCACTCAAACTCCTCCATGGATCAACTGGTATGAAGTAAAATGCTGACTAGGAAAAGCTAAACTTTGCAAGGGGCTGGAAAGACTGGACCTAGCTGGTCAAGATGCTACATTTATACTAACAAACAAGAGTCTCATCCCACAATCATCCACAGTTAAATCGCTGTCAGTTTTTTGACTTGTGCCAGTTAGCAGGCTTCCAAACGCTGGTTGAAGTTCGGTCTGGGCTAGGAGCCATTCTCACAGGCAGCCTGCAGGCAGCTGCCCTGCTTTGGAAAGTAGGAGCTTAACCATAAAGAAGTCATTTTGGTCTCATGACTACAGAGCTATCTCTGGCACTGCAACTACTGGAACAGACACAGAAAAAAAAATTTAAAAAAAAAAAAGCATGGCACAGGAGAGGCGGAGACCCTGCATGAAAATGTCAATAAAGCCACATGATTGGAATCCAAAGTGAAACAGGCACACTAAGATGGTTCATTTACAAGTTCGGTCTACCATCTGCTATGTACAAAAAAGTTAAGGCTAAAGAATTTCTGCGCATTAGATCTCGCTCCTGTAACAGTTGTTGTGATGCAATGATCTTTTTCGGAGAAGACTAGAAGTAACAAGACAAGGCAGGTATACAAAACTTTTTATTGACAACAGAACAATAGAGAGGAATGTCACCACTTCCCATTCCTCAGGAATGTCTCCATTTCACAGTCAGTCTGCTAAAAGTATACTTTCATGGTAACAAGCAAGAAGAAGGCATGGAGCTGTCTGTAATCTGAAGAACAATGTTTAATCAGTGCAATGTAAAGGGACTGACAGTGTGCAAGTGTGCAGCAGGCCCTGTCACAACACAAACATGGCAGGCGACTGTATATGCAGAGCCAACAGGCACAGACACGAAGCAGTCAGAAATCTCAAATTATATCTCCATTAATTCCATTTAAGGGCAATACCTGAAGTGCTACTCCATCCGTATTCCATTTCAAAATGGAAAAGTGAATACTTTCTTCCCTCACTCCTTTCACTTCCCCTGTCCTCAAAGATGTTAGTACTTCAACTGAATGGTACTGTGTCAGAGAATGCCTGAGCTTTTATATTTTGCTACCTCATACCAGTTCATGCATGAAATTGAGTTTACTTTCAGAAGCTTACATTGATATAAAGAAGGGGGAAAAAAAGTGCTGCATAAGAATAAGAGGATTTAGTTGTTAATGCTTCCTCGCTGACAAAAATATTTGGTAGTTGAAGACACTCCCTGTAATGTCATTTTTATAAAGTATGTATGCAGTCTACTTAACATTTTCAAGACACTGCATGTCAACCATCTTAACATAATTTCAAATACTCTGAAATTAAATTTGAACTGAGATTCAATCTAAACAACAAAATATCTGAATTTTAGCTTTCACAGTATACACAACTGCCCACTGACTGCAAGATGAAAGCACTCTTCCTCCTTCATAAGTTTCCTCTGCCTGCAGAACTGTACTGGTACTCCTGTGTAGTAGCTTATACATTTGTTAACATTTATTACTTTATTGTGTTTTTCCTTTACTTAGTGGATGTGCCTCTGGATGCGTAGACTGGTTGTTAAAGTGCTTTAAAATAAAACAGAAACTCCAGCAAAAAAAAAAACCCATCCCTCAAAAAACCACAACAGATGTGAGAATTTTATCTGAAGGACTTTGTACAGCATTTACAATGTCAGCATAAAGCATCTGAAACATGAGCATTCCCTGCAGACTGATGCAGTGCAAGCAGTCTCATACATTAGATACTGCAACTCCTCCAGATTCAAGATGCACAATACTTACAAAAACAACCCTAGAAGCACAGACAAATGCTGGTGGCTCTTCCTCTTCTTTTTAGAAACATAATAAAAAAATCTGCATTACTCTTTCATAATTTAAATACATAAGTAATCTCCACTTTTATTACTTCATGACAATGACTTCAAATTTACATTATTAAGTACCATCATAATAGCTCCATGTATAATACAGATATTTGCTGATATCTTGTCAGAAAATAAAAAAAAAAAACCCAAAACAAACCTTTCACTATATAAAAAAAATTATGCTGGAAAGACAAGAACACAGAACAGGGACTTGGTACAGACTATGATTTCAGTTTTATATCAACCACAGTTAACCCAAAATTAACAGATACACAGCGATATTCAAAAGCAGTGCAAATATCTTTGGAGGTTAGAATAAAATTATACTACAAGAACAGAAGACAGAAGAAATTAAAAGGCAAGTACTTCAAGTACAGGAACCAGTCTCTGTGAGGTCCATCTTAGTGTTAGCTGGGAGTTCCTTTTCCCATCTTACTTCTTTCTCTGAAACACATTAGCCAGCATTGCACCTGATGTAGTCAGCTGGCCCATTTTGTTCAAAAACTTGGTCTTTGTATCTTCACTCACGAGGCTCGCTGCAATCGACATTGAGCTAGGAAAGTAAAAAATTTAGTGACATAAGACTAAAAAGAAAAAAAGAACACCATGCTGTTATTTAATAAGCAACTGAATTGCCTTTGAATTTTAGAGGTTTCAAGATCACAAAAGACCAGTCTGTCAAGAAGAATTGAAAAACCATCACAATCAAGCCCAAATACACACTGTTAAATGAATTATCACACCCTCGCAGTCCTAGTGAAAAGTTGTAAACTATTTTTGTGCACGCTACTTTTTACTACCTTTAGAAGTCACCACATTAGCAGTTGTTAGCTGTTTGGCAGTTGGTCTAGTGACAAATACCTCTGTGAAAGATTGGTTTTACGTTCTCACTGGAAATGTCAATCTTATTTAATAGAAGAATAGTACTGTTTCAGACCAAGGATCTACCTAGCCCAAGTATCCATCTAGCCCAAGTATCCTGCCTCTGACAGTGACCATTAGCAGACATGTAGGAAAGAGTAAAAGCAAGTACAAAACAGTGACCTCTCTCCTTAATTTCCAGCTCTCTTATTTTCAAACTATTTCCACCTGAGCAGAGTATAAAATTGGTGTGGACTGTCAATCTAGTCACTCACAATGAATCTTCACATCACTTGTTCAGCTTGCTTTCAATCTTTTTGTAAACTTCTAGTAGGACTCTGCCCCAGGGTGGGGTTTACAAGGTCTACCCCTCGCTGGGTAAAGAGCTTTCTCCTTCTGGTTGTTGTGAATGTGACTCCTACTACCTTTGCTTGAGTGTTCCTACTTCATACGTACTAGAGAAGACAATGGAGAGTTCACAAATTTCCCACAAACTGGATTAGAAGGAGCAACCCAATCAGTGCTGGACCTATGAGATGCTACAACTTTGAACGTGTTAAGAAATTATCCCAATGTTGCAAAATCAACTGTTTTTTTTTTTTTTTAATTTACAACATATCAGTGAGTTCAACTTCAGATATATGTAACTGTTCAGCATAGTAGCAGTAATCTGTCCCAAGACAAGAGTGCAAGAAGGCAAATGATAGCAGGAATATTAATAAATACTCCATACTTCCTGTATTTGTAGTTAAAATGGCAAACATTTTTCAACAGCAGACAGGGCCAATTTTACAAAATGTTACCAGTGAAATTCTCCCTTGTGAGCTCAGCGTGGACTCTTGTGTTTAAAAATTAGACCTAAGATCACAAGATCTGTCTTACTGGCACAGGCCAGCTTCCAAGAATTGACTTTTCAGTCTGCAAGGTAGGTCATAAACAGTTCTGTTAGATACTTTTGCATCAAGGCAGGTCAAGTTGAAGTTAACTTCAAATTGCTTCAATAGAATTTGAATGATTTCTTCAAAGGTAGCAGGGATGCATTCAGTATTTTTTCCCATTTCATACCACAAAAAAAGGTGCTTAACAGTAACAAATTCTGGTTCTTTTTAAACAGACTACTTGGGGAAAAAAAAAAAAAAAGGAAGCTTCTCACTAAAGTTGTACTGTGGATTTACAGGTAACTTAATTGTATCATAACTGTATCTCCTCAAATGTATCCCCCATCCCTTCTACTTTTTAAGCTGAAGTGACTCCCTGTCTTCTGCATTTCCACAGTGCCTAATGGACCTAGACTCTTGAAGGGGCCTTAGGTATGCCTCACATAGCATACCTAAGAGTACCACAAAGCATACTCCTAGGTATTTTTTTCAGTACATCTATTAATGGAAGAGGTTATCCAAATCAATCATCTCAAGGTAAATATTATTAGTTGGTATTTTCTGAAAGCTCTGTAAAGTTCCTCATTACCTAATATTTAGTGTTTAAGCATCATTTTATTAAAAGTATGATATCTGAATTTTTAGTGAAGTTTAAAATTTTGAAAATTTTTCTCAGGTTGTAGCTCTTTTTAGGCAACATCTGATAAAAATTGACATTTTATTTTAAAAATAATCTTTTTATTCTATTTAGCAGCCAGTGATGAACATATATAGTGTTTTGGAATTATTTATAAACTTTTTATGTGAAATATTTCTTTCAGGCACAATCACACAGCCAGACATCTTTGGCTTGATTAAACATCCACAGTCAACTAGGAATCCCATATTTCCAGCTAATAAAACTTAGCAGGTAAAACTACTACTCCAAGATGGATTTCTTGCGCAATTTCCCTTGATTTCATGATAAAGCAAAGGCATATAAATTATGTAAATAACAGTTTATACTTGCTATCAGCTGGGTAATCACAAGAAGCTATTCCAGCCTATGATGTATTCTAGAGTTGTGTGTCACAAGGGAAAATGATTTGGGAAATATAGTATGTTCCAAGCATTAGCAACATTAAGAAAAAAAAAATTGCTCACTTCAGAAAAGAAAGCCTAGCAACTCGTGACAAACCTGTAGTTGTTTTAAGCAAACTGTGCTGCCATTCTAATGATCCTGAATAAGCTTGAGGAAAACCAGGAAATGTTCAATGGACTTTCAAAACAGCTTTGGGGGATATCAGCCATCTGATGTTAAAAATTAAAAATTAAGAACTGGAGTGTCTAGAAGTTCATGTTTTCTAATATTATGTTACTGTAAACAGAAGGATAATCCACAGCACTCAACATACTTAAGAGTTTAAATATGCCTCAAAAGTACTTCTATTACTATACGAATTGAACATTTAAACATAATAATAAAAGCAATACGAAATCAAATAATATGAGTCTCATGTCTTTAAAAAGTAATCAGAGAACCCAACAAGGCAATAATATATCTTGTTTGAAACAAGCAGTCCCGTAGAAAAGTCCTTGCATGTACTCGTTATTTAAAAACCAAACCAAAAAACAGCCCACAAACAAAAATAATGTGTAAACATCAAATTTTTGACCAGCGTCTAGATGAATTACATGCTACCTGTTTTATGGGAAAGCTTTAGGCCAAAACAAACCTTCATGCTGGACATTTTATAAAAATCAGTTTGTAATGTAAGTTGTTACCCATGATTGAAATACCTTGTTAATTGCTGAAGAAAATGTTTACCAAAAGTGGCTATCCAATATTTAGAAAGACAAAGTTTAATCTTTTTTTAAAAACTATTTCTGTGACCAACCTTTTCTAACAGTGAGGGGCAAAGATAAGATAACCAACAGCATCTTACAGTTGCTTTTGCATCCAGTTTTATTTTTGTGCATGCATTCTGATGTTGTTAACAAAAATCAGTAATTTATCTCCTAGCTGCATTTAAATCCTTTGTCAAATATATATTTAACACTGAAATTAGGAACTGAAATTCACAACAGCTTAGCAAGAAAAAGGAGATATTCACATATATGAAAAGGTCATTTCTTCAGCGGTAAAATATTTCGTGTTAGTTTTGTACGGTAGAAGATTGCAACAATAGCCTGATTTTGAATAAGAAAGGGGAAGGCTAATTAAAGAATGAAGTGACGCATTGTGAAGACTTATCCTTTTCAAATATAAGTTTTCAGCAGCTGCATTCTAAAAGAAAATACACTGGATGTTGCATCATGTTTGCATTTATCTGTTTCTGCAATGGCTTAATAGGACTAACTGTGATTTCAAAATATTTCTGTAACAGGGATTTTAATTCAGACCCCTTAGATTTAGGTTAACATGTCTGCACTGATACAAGCTAAAGCAAGGTAAGTCTCAACCCTACATGAAATAGAAGTTGATCACTCAAACTCTAGCCATGCAGAGACCGGCTTTGATGAACTAAACAGGTTAAAACATTTGAGAGAGGTAAAAGCACACATTTAAAAAAAAAAAATTAAAAATCCTGTCCAACTGAAGAGAACCACTTGAGAATTAGGAGGAGCTCAGCCAAGGAATTTTGTTTCATAACCTTAGGTTTCACAGTTCAGTTAATAGAGGTAAGATAATAAAAACCCTTCAGGTTAAGGTTAATGGTGTTCTTTAAAGAGACCAGTTTGAAAGTGCGTACACTTGCTGCATTCTGGGAGAGAAAAAAATTTCTTTCACAGTATGTTTGCCTGAGAAGGAATCAATTTCATCTTTTCTAATGATCTCTCCTAAAAGGCTGTCAAGAAGTTGCTCAAGAAGCAATAAATTAATTTACTTCCAGAAAAACATTTATCAGGCATAAAAGTCTTATCTATTTAGATACATACACTGCTTTTATTTTTTTCTTTACACAGCCAAAGTCTGAGGTGGTGGCTTTTTTTATTGCACAAAGAATTAAAAAGAAAAAAGAATATTGGTTAGTCTGTAGATAAAAAAGAGAGTCCATAAAACCCAGGCAGGGGAAATATTTGCAAAGTAACAGATGCCCATGTACGCAACTGATTCAAATGAATGAACTTTTTAGTCAAAATATTAAGTCACTGCTTATGCGGAGAGATGTCCTTACACAGGTTGGTTGGTGAGAGTCTGCAGCAATTGCTTAGCATCAGATCTGCAGAGTCTGGCTGTTAATTCTTTCTTATCACAATTACCTATTGGGTATCTACTATGCAAGGTACATAGTACAGGGAAGACCTTGATAAAACTAATGCTTACTTGCAAAAAGTAGGATATGTCTAATGGGGCAATTAGCAAGTTTCTATCTTGCCAAGAATCATTACTGGTAGGTTGTTTTCTGAGGAAATAGCTGGCTTAAGTGCCAACCTTTAATATAGCTGAAGGCAAGCTAAGCGTTCACCATTCTTTAAAAATAAAAAGCAAATGCACAGCTGCTGAAGAATCTGAAGGATACAGGAAGGGGATGGGCATTCAGTGTATGACTACCAGGGGACGGGGATGGGACACACAGGTATGCATGCCAGAAAGCTCCATTTAAGAGAAGGCAGAAAGGATAAGGACAAAAGTACAAAGTTTGAGGAAGTAACAAAGTGAAGCCCTGGGAAAAAACAGCAGCATTAATGAATGCGTTTTTTGGTTCTTGACTGACTGGCTATTTATGTTGCAAGCAAAGAATATGCCTGTGGAATGATTAAGTCAAATAAACCTGTTCTTATTCTGTGAATAACTAATATGTCAAAGAAATATCTGTTTCATCATGAAAATAGCCACTGAACTGGAATGCACTTAGTCAGTACAATCCCTATTTCATCGTACTGCCACAGACAGAACCAACTACCTTATTAGCATAGATACACTATGGATTGTGATTTGTTGCAGAACCTGGATATTTTCAGTCTTAAAATAGTTTCCCTTCAGAAGTCTACAGTTCTTTTCTAGTACACCTTCAAGAGTTGACCTGATGCTCATGTCTCAGATGGATTCAGTTCTTTCTACACTCCATTCACTATCAACTACATCAGTAAACAGGCTAATTACCACTAGTGAAGTCTGAGAGATTTTATTCGGTGCATGAGAGACTGATTCTTTTTCTACACCATGTCTCTTCTGTTCAATTCTTGTACACCTTTCCTATTTCAGTCATTCTCAAACTATCGGTTGCTTCCAGGATTTTGCCTGAGCTCTTTCAAGAAGTAAATTCTATAAATTTCTTACAGGTATGGAAGCATGACATAAACAAGTTTCAGTAACTCTCTTGATTCCCACGGCCATTCCCATGGTATCAGGGCTAAGGACAGATTCTCTTTTTTCAGATACCTACTGTTTCTTCTCAAACTCTTCCTGGCAACACTGCGAAGGATTTATTATGTTATATAGTAATCCATAAAAAGTTACCTGCTGGTATGCTGTTCAAGGCAACAAGCAGGCAAAAGAACACATACACCTCATGATAATGATGCTTAGCTTTCCAAATTTGTGGGTCTGTTCGCTTCTTTTGTCATCAGGAAAGAGCCACATACATATGATACCACTTCTACCAGGAGGCAAATTGATACATACACACCACATGTCTGACGCCTCACTGGAGAGCTGGGTTTACTGTGCATTTGCAGAATGAGTGTTTTACTGCAGTGCAACATAGGTGGCATTTTCCCAAAGCCAACATATTTACTAAACAGTGTTTTCACATGGGCAGGTCAGTTTATACACCAGAGAAACCGTTCTCATGTACACTAGTCACATGCAAGCAAGGACAGCAGCCTGGAGCAGGACATTACCCCGACCAGAACAACTCCTTCAGCCTGCAGGCCACCCCTGTGAAAGAGGGTTGCAAGGTGCGTGCCGCATGCATTGCTCTAAGCACTTAAGCCAAGCACTCCCTGCTTTCTCAGGTTCAGGACAGAATTCAATTACTTCTTTAAATGGATAGAAAGATAAGAACAAAGTAACACGGGAAAACAAGAACAAGAACAAACATACGATAAAAACGTGTTGTCCCGTGTTTGACACTGGAGACAGAAACAACCACAAACTGAATTAAAGATGAAGTTCCTAAAATCTGCTTTCAAATACAGAATATGTCAGGGCAGGATTTCTGGTCACAAGCTTTGGACACCATTATGGAATACACTCTGCAGAACATTACTCTGGAGGCAGAGAAAAAAAAAGAGAAGTGGAAGTCTTACCCCTGCGGTTCTTGGACAGTCTTGTTTTCCACTTTCTGTTCACACTCTTTTATCATGGAGCTTAAAATAACCTAAGACACAGACGGAAGAGACACACATGACATTTTTTCTTTTACATTAACACTTCGTATGAAATCTACTCCACAACTAATTCTGACATTAGCAGAACTGTTTAAAAAGTTTCTCTGCTGTTTTTCAAGTGCACTTAAATTCCAGCTATCTCACAATGCCTTGTGGCTAGCAACAACAAAACCATTCACAATACTTTTAAGGAAGAAAATGTTTTTTAAATAGTTACAGGAATTCAAGACACCCTCCTGCTTCCCTTGGCATTTCAAAATAGAGCTAAAGCAAACTCACTTCTATGACACACCTCCTTATCTTCCTTCTTTCAAACAATACTTTTATTTATTAGCAATTAACTTTACCATACATTCATCTTCCCTCTATTTTCCTTTAGAGAGTTTTCAAGTACTTTTAAAAATTTGTATCTTTACCAACATTATGCATGAAAGAAAAAGCAAGGAAAGAAAAGAAAAAAGTGTGATGGCATCCTGAGACAGCATCTTAATGGAAAGGAAGTGCTAAAGCAAACTCGGTATCATTTCACTGGTGTCGGCCAGGGCTTCTATGAATCAAGGGGTTTTTTCTTTACTTAAGCAATTGCAACGTTAAAGGTTTCCACAGAATATTTAAGACTAAAACCACCCCCCCCCCCTTACATTTCTCCAGCATACCAAAAATAAAGGAACAATTCCCAGCAGCAGGCTTTGAAAGAAATCATACAATTCATTGGACAGGTATATAACTCCCTGCCCTGCTCCATGACAGTACTGTTTTAAAACGTTAAGACAAAAGCATTTGAAACACTTAGGCAAAACAGTTGCAATGCAGAGTGTGAAAATATAAACATCTATATATATGTACCCACCGCATAAATGGAAACTTTCTCTGCTCACAGCTCAGGGGAAAGCTAAGCATTTTCTTTGAGACAATCAACTTAAAATCTAAAAGCTGCAAGCAACTAAGTACCAAAACCTGAATATATACAATAAAGGAAAAAATATCTAATTTCAATCCCTAAAATACAGATCAGTCACTAATGGTTACTACCAAATGTAACTATTTTAAAATGTATTTATATACATAAAAAAGATGGTTTCTGTCAAATCCCTGTTAAACAGCTGCAGCACAATATATTCTTTGAAACCATTTATTACCCTGATAAGATGTGGCCCGGTCTGCAGATCTGTGCCACTGTTCACTCTGTTTCTCCAAAAGTATTACTTCAACATTTGAAACAGTTTGGGTAGCAGATGTTATATACCCTTGAATGTCTCAGAAAGCAGCATTCAAACCTGCGTATGAGTCTAAGAGGACTACAACTCTTACTGCTAAATTTGCTGTCCTTCACTTGCATAAAAAATTACGCAAGTACTTAAACTCAAGAGTACAGAGGTACAACAGAAATGCATTCCAAATTCCAGTGAAAAAGCAAGCTTTTCTTTCTGTATCAAAAGAAAACTGAAATTTCTAAGCACAACGGCCATAATTTTTGTTACTTAGCATTTCTACCTGTGCATTGGAGCACTTCTACTGTTTTGTACATCTGTCTGAATCTAGGTGTTCCAAATATCAACAATATGAAGTCTTGATCAAGGAGGAAAATAATTGGCAAGGACCTAGAATCATTTGAATACCAGGATGGAGCCCCCATCCACTGCACAGCTCCTTCCAGGAAGGCTACATAATTCTTGGATAAGTGGAGCAATTGTTCCCTCTTCCCCAAATTAATTTGTCTTGAACTTCAGGGTGAAAAGAGAGGAAAGGTATAAATATAGTCTCATATGGCAATTTTACATTATGGTATTGCACATACTGCTCCCACCTATTCCCTTGGGTTCTCTTTGTTTGGTCATCAGACTGACTATGAAATCACTTAGATCTCCTTTAAGAGAGACATTTTAGACACGTAACTCTGTATTTAGAGACATATAAGAGACAGAACCTGTGCTTAAGTATTATAAACAATACTGTAGATGGACTAAATATTTTTATCAAGTACTGATTATACCTCACTATCATGCAACTCAAAATCCAATTACTCTGAAAAGAAATAAAAGGCAAGTGGTGAAGGCGGAAGAAGGGACTTGACATGGAATTAAAGATGTTGGCAAAGTATGTGAAATGCCTGCACTCTTTATGAGAGGGTCTGGCTTACATGCCCAACTTGCACTTCTGTTCATGCGAATGAAAGGAAAGCGAATATGAGGGATAAGTGGTAAATGCTGCCTGACAGGATCACATGCCAATTCCACAAATGTTACATTTCCAAGATGAACATAAACTGTGTACTGATGTTAGAGCTACAGGAGCTAAGGCTCTGTGAATATGTGTTTTTGTAACTGATATGCCATTTGAATTGTGAATAACACCACAGTGATCAAAATGAGAAAAGGGTTAATTCTGTTTACGCAAATGTATAACTATTCGAACCAGTGAATCACATTTACTTCAGAAAACATAATTTTAAGACAGAAGGCTTGAAAGACAGCCACTAGAACTAACCAAGCCTCAGAGATCTCTATCACGGTGCCTACAAACATCCTGTTGTAGCAAGATGCTGATTAAGCCCCAAATTTCCAATTCTACAGTAAAAGCTGTAGTGAGTTTTCTAACCCACTGGAGCACAAGTAAATATTTTTAAATTTATGTTTCTCTCTGGCAAAAAAAATAAAGCAATTGGCATCATGCCTGAAGCCAATTAATCACAGTGATACAGAATGTGGCAAAGCAGGATTGAGAGCTGTCTTCTCTTATTTATTTTTAATCCTATTTAAGCCCTCAGTTCCTTCTCCAGTCACAAGACTCAAACTCAATCAAATAAGCTCTTTTGTTCTAATTCAGGGCATCTTTGACTATGCCCTTAAACCTTAGAAGTTGCACTAACTACTATACAAAAATGAAGTATTAGTATTTTTATCTGTTATCCCATTAGTGAATATGACAGAACAAAGAAAATTAAACTAAATGCAACTTTTGCTTACTGCAGCTTTCAGATATATTCTTAGACTTCCCAAAACACAACACATCTCCCAGCTCTCTCTGAATACAGAGTATCATTGCCAGATCTCCTCCAGTGCTGCCTGTGGTAAGGAAGTACAATTCTGTTGCCTTTGACTGATGCTCAGGTCACTACTGTCCCTTCTGACTCAGCCTTCTGAAGTCAGATTATTTCCTTTTAGGTCTGAAAGTTCCTCAAATGAATTTACCTCCAGTTCCACATACTGTATATTATAAAAAAAGATAATATACAGAAAATAAAAGAATGAGACTATAGGCTATCAGACTGAAGATATAACTGGAAGAAAGGACTTTGTTACCAAGTACAAGAATGCAGAACTCCTACTGAACACAGTCATCTCAAGTCACTTTTGCAAACAGAAGAAAAAGTAATTGCTTTTCTCAAGTACAAAGTAATCCATGACAGTGCAATATTAACCTTCAAAACCCAGAAGGATGTTCCTTTGTACATTTTGATTAAATCTTTTCCTCCGTCACTTGAAAAGTTCACACTGTCAAGATTTTCCCAAAATGCAACTATACTACATCTCTCGTTCTCAGCTACTGACTTAATATCTATGTGTTTCAATCTCTGTTAGTGTTCATCCTCTTCAAGTATTTACAAAAAAGTGCATAGACAGATGGCCAAGATTTTCAAGTTTCTCAAGTCAGCTTCTCCTGCTAACTCTTCTCTTTTGCTAGTTTCTGTAAGCTCCTTCTATCAGAGATCTTTTTAGCTCCTGTCTTGTCCTGTCTGCTTATTATAATCTGCGTTTTACACTTCACAGAATCACAGAATGGTTGAGGTTGGCAGAGACCTCTGGAGGTCATCTGGTCCAACCCCCTGCTCAAGCTGGGCCATCTGGAGACAGTTGTTGTGGACCATATCCAGATGGCTTTTGAGTATCTCCATGGACGGAGACTCCACAAACTCTGTAGGCAAACTGTGCCAGTGCTCCATCACCCTCACAATGAAAAAGTGTTTCCTGATGTTCAGAGGGATCTCCCTGCGTTTCAGTTTGTGCCCGTTGCCTCTGGGCCAGTCCCTGGGCACCACTGAGAAGAGCCTGGCTCCGTCCTCTTTGTACCCTCCCTTTAGGCATTTATACACATTCGTGAGATCCCCCTTGAGTCTTCTCTTCTCCAGGCTGAACAGCCCCAGCTCTCTCAGCCTCTCCTCCTAGGAGCGCTGCTCCAGTCCCTTCATCATCTTCGTGGCCCTTCACTGGACTCTCTGCCGTAGGTCCATGCTTCTGTACTGGGGAGCCCAGAACTGGACAAAGTACTCCAGATATGAAATACATCCCATGTATTTCAGGACTATCCTTTCCTCATCCTTGTCTATCATTTCTCTCCTGAACTGCACCAGTTTTCATCTGCATTCAAGGCCAGGTTGGACGGGGCTTTGAGCAACCTGGTCTAGTGGAAGGTGGCCCTGCCCATGGCAGGGGGGTTGGAACGAGATGATCTTTAAGGTCCCTCCCAACCCAAACCATTCTACGATTCTGTGATATTGTGGCCATTGATTTTAGTGTATCCTTGTTTTGATGAGAAAACAGATGGTAAAAACATTTCCTTTTTCTTCAGTCTACAAAGATCTAGGTTTCTACATGCATTTCTGAGAGCTGAATATTTCTCTGCAGAGGTCCTTGGCTTAGAAATAAATTTTAAAAGATTTTACTGCGTTTTAAGTCATGTGACCTATTCCTTATCAAAAACCCCCTAAATGCTATGCTTAAGCTACCACTTAAGCTCTCCTTAACTTTTGTTTTTAAATACCAGTACATTTCAACTTTTGCTGCCACCTGCATCTCATACTCAGTTAGAAAACATAGCTGCTCACCTCATGCTCTGGTGAGAGATGTTCCATGTCAGTTCGTAAACACTTAAGTCCTGGTAGAAAATGATTAACCATTAAATCTTCTGAAATAACTAAAAATCAGGTTGTTAAGGTATTATAAGGATTGTCTTCTGAAATTATACTACTTTTTTTTCTGTCTTCTGATAATGTTATTCAACTGAACACAGAGACAAGCTACAGTAGCAAAACCCAAGAAAACAGAGCAGCATTTGGCACTTCATGACTAATAAAAAGATCTTAAACATATTTAATTCCATATATTTCATACATCCATACATTTCTTTTCACATGTTTTCCTAATTTACTGGTTAAGATCAAGGGCTTTTTTTTTTTTTTAGCTTTTTTTTTTTTTTTTTTTTTGAAAGTATCCATCAGTTCCACTGTATTAGGTCTGGCTGAGATGGAGTTAATACTCCCCATAGCAGCCCTCATAGCACTGTGCTCTGCATCAGTAGCTAGAAAGGTGTTGATAGCACACCAGTGTTTTGGCTACTGCTGAGCAGTGCTGGCACAGCATCAAGGCTGTCTCTCCAACATTCCCCCTCACCGGCAGACTGGGGCTGGGCAAGATCTTGGGACGGGACGTAGCCAGGACAGCTGAACCAAACTGGCCAAAGGGGTATTCCATACCATGTGATGCCTGCTGAGCAATAAAAGCTAAGAGAAAGGAGGAGAAAGGTGAGCATTCGTTATTACAACATTTGTCTTCCAGAGCAACCTCTACGCATACTGAAGCCCTATTTAGCGGGAATTGGTTGGACATCGCCTGCTGATGGGAAGTAGAGAATAAATCTTTTGTTTTCCTTTGCTTTTGTGTACAGCTTTTGCTTTATTAAACTTCCTTTATCTTGACTCATGAGGTTTTTTCCATCTTATCCCTCCCCAATCCTGCCAAGGAGGGGAATGATAGAGCTGCTTGGTGGGCACCTGGCATCCAGCCAAGGTCAACCCACCACATTCACCTTCTGTGAAAACCTCTTCTTTATACTGAGCAGATCATGTTTTACATCACACATTCAAAGACCAACTGAGTTATTTCTCAAGTATCAATCTTCTCCCCCCACCAGAGAATTAACAGCTAAACTTCCCCTAGAAAAAGGATACAACAACAGGAAAGAGCACTGTAGGCTTCGAACAGGTGGGTAGCGATATCCAGTCTCTTTGAATCCACAGACTGCTGGTTGTTGACCAAGGCTAACTTGTGCAAGTGTGGAATAACAACTGTAAAAGTAAATATTGGAATAAGTATTTGAAATTGCTTTCCGTAGACTTGCTTAGCATTAAAGAGTTGCTAAGTGGCAATCACAGGCATCTGAAGCATCACACATCAGTATGGAATAAGAACTGCAAATAATGGCTTTTGATGGGACTGCCCTTGCAGATTTAACTGATCAACTCAAACTTGAAATAAAACTGTGGTAACGCCATCTAAAATAAAAGGGTACCTCAGAGTGCTTTTGAAATAGTAACAGTTTACAGAAAATATTTTGCAACAGTATTACTTTCCTGCTGCTAAAGCTGTCTAAAATATGCTTCTATTTTATTAATACAGCTGATAAGCTAGTGACAGAGATATGCATGCCATGAGAAATCTTCATTGCCTATAGAGGAAGCCTCTCTAATGAGTTTCGCCTGCTAAACTAGATGCCTGCAGTTGGGATTCATGATAGCTCCTTGTGTTGTTTACAAGTATCTTTAAGACAGTCTAACAATCGACTTTGCTCTTCTATGTGCTTTACATTTCCGGACCATGAAAAAAAAGCCATTTTGTTAATCTCGGATGCACTTACATTTAAGATGTGTGGAATACTTGAAATTTATATGCCAGCAGGGGGTGAAGCAATGGGGGATGGGGGTAGAGGAAGGCATTTGACATGTTAAGTAATTAAAAAAGACAACTTCAAATTTGCTCTGCAGTGAAGTGAACAGTCCCCTCTGGTTCTGAAATCATTCATCACCAGGTGCTGGTTTTCTACATACACGCCAATGTTAGGTAAAGTGAAAATTATATTAGTAAAGTCTTAAATATTGGGACATACCAAACTCTGAAAATAAGAGTTTTCATCAAAATTTTTGTAAAGACAAAAAGAGTCAATATAACCAGCATACTATTAGCTTTGGGACAGAAAGAGGAAGACTGCATCTTCCCACTTATGCAACTTACATTCATCTCTAAATCTGGGCTCAGCATTAGGTCCAACTCTTCCAAATGTTTTTATGATTTCTGTATGTAGAGAATGTTGGTCTTGATATTGAGGGTCCTCCAGGAAAGATGCCAGCTGCATTTTTACTCTTTCCAGAAGCTTAAATATCCCCAGAGAAATAAAAAGTACACAAAAGAATGAAGATGCTAGAAACCGTTATGGTCAGTTCAGAGCATGTCTGTAATCTTCCACGTTTCAGATGATAAACCTCGGACCTCCTGTTAATTTACAATTTTCTTCCGACAGGATGTTCCAAACTCTTCAATGTAGCTCTACATTTTAAAGACTGTTAACAGTGTTTTAATCTGATCTATCTGTAACTATAGACACATGCTTCCATATAGCCTGTCTTTCCTCCTGAAGTATCCTTGGTTTTCATACTCACATTTTTTACCTGCTATTAAATTTTCCCTCTTACTATTAATATCTTTGGATTTTTCCTGTTTAATTAGATCTGAATTCATGTTATTTTTTTTGTAATATATCTCAATTAGTATGCTGAAAAATTTTCTGCAGAAGACAGATGCAAAAGTAAGCATCATAAAAATCAATGGAATTTAAAAGATTTCTTCAACTAAAGGCTAGAAAAACTGAAAATAGAAATATATCTAAGATGACATAAGTATTTAATTTGCATTCACAGTTGTAAAAATAACATTTTCTGATACATTTTGGAAGGCGGTATCACCTCTATAGTCTAAGGCTTATTATAATTAGTGCAACGGATACAGTAATTTTTGTGTGGTAACAAAACAGTATTCTTCCCAAACTGATTATAGGCATGCATTCCAAGCTACAAAATTGTAACTTATCCATCTTCCAAGTACTTGTGAGTCATCACTGACTTCTTACTCACATTTCCTCAAACACATTCTTTTAGAATATGTTGAAATTACAGGAAGAATGCAAACTCTGCAAAAAGCTGCAAGGACTTTAAGAAGAAATTTGATTGCGGAGTTATTACATAAAATAAAATACAGTATTTCTACCGCTTACAGCAGAATCCTAGGTGTCTTTTTTCAGAATTCTGATCTATTACCAAAGTTTCAGAATTTAAAAAACAAGAAGGAATTGCATCTCCGCATTACCCTCAAGGATTATTTCAGTTATGTTACTATGATGTCTTTTAATGCCATCTTGGACACCATGGGCTAAACCAGCAGATATGACAGGCACTACAAGAGACTTGTATCCTTCTAAAGTAGTTGGAAGCCAAGCAGGATTCAGTGGATACTAAAGCATCCGAAACAGTACAATGTACTTATGTGGAGATAACTGAATCCCACCATGAGTTTTTGGTTAGCATTTTAAAATAAAGCTATTTTATTTGAAAATGATGGACTTGGATTTCTGAACTGTACTGGAAAATGTTTTAAAAAAAAACATTTTGAGCCTGGGATTTCCCATCTTCTATAGCCCAGGCCTCCTCCTCTATGCATCTGTTTTTCTTTGTTTATGTTTGGTTTGATATGTTTTTATTAGTTAAAATAGCACTGGTTTGTTTCCAAAAAAAAAACCCCAACCCCCAAAAAAGCCACAAACCATTGCAAAACTGGAAAGCATTCTGGATGAAAAAAAAAAAAAGGAAAAAAAAATTTTAAACGCTTCCCCCCCCCCCCCCCAAGTTAATTAAGAAATTACTGGATTTATCAAAAATCACCCACTTCTTATGCCACAAAAACAACAGCCTGACAACAGGTGTCTTACCTCCCTCTGAGTAACAGTTTCCATGATGGTCCCAAAAGCAGGAATTGTTGCAATCCTTACTGAACTACAACAGAAAAATAGAGTCTTTAAGATGTATTAAACATTAAGAATAAAATTAATTAAAAATAAAGCAAAATTAAAAAATTAGTACTTTAAGTTACATTAGTTTCTAGCAATGACAAAACAAAAAAAGCAGACCAGGAAAAAGACAGACAGGATTTACTCAAGGTCTCAATCTGAAACTCACAATTCAGGATCACTGGACAAGGTAACAAGGGCCGGAGCAACCCGCTTGTCAACTAAGGCTTCACTCATGCCTCGAAGAGTCAGCTGTAAACCAGTCAACATGCAATAAAAAACGGTTTGGTAAACTTGAAGAACTGGGTTAGCTGTGACTGAGGATGGGCAGGCAGACTCTTGGGGTTTTTCTTAGTTTAGTTACCCACACAAGACATTAAAACAATTAAGAGACTATTCATGCTCTAGCATTTATTAGTAATAACCTGTTAGTAAGATTAGCAAAGCATCCCTCCTTAGCTTGAAAGAAATATCACATCAGAATGTCCAGGAAATGAAGTACTATGGTTGTCTATCAGAAATTAGATACAGCCAAAACTATTTTGCATTTTGGTAATGCAGATGATATTTAATTTTGCAGTAGTAAAGTTGATAGCATTACAGAACATATTAATATCCAGCTTTCTGCTAGAAATGTTGTAAGCAAATTTCAAAACTGAGAATATGATTAAATATAAAAAAACTCAGAAAAATTAAATGACATTGATTTATGTTTTCTATTTAAAGTTCATTCAGCAACTTTATCCAGTTTAGTTCTAGGTGTTGCAGTAAACCTTTTTATTTCCAAATAAATAAGTGATTTAAAAGTTTAAAAGTTAAACTTTAAATTTAAATTAAACTTAAGAGTTTAATTTGTTTAAAAGTAATGCATTTTTTGTTCAGCTAGAATTAAGAAACAGAACTGATGGTTATTTCTTCCTAAGTATTAAGAGGGATGCCAGGTATATAAGACAGTCAGGAAACTTACATTTCAGGGTCACTGGAGAGAGTAATGAGAGCAGGAACAACTCTCTGAGCTACCAGAGTTTCATGTACCCCCTTCACCAACAGCTGAATGGTCGGAGCAGGGGGGTATCACAGGTGATGCACGGAAAGAGCGAGCACAGTATCATGGGAAGAAGAACGGCACAACCAAGAGAGAGAAAGAAAAAAAACACAAAAAGCAAACCAAAATTAGAAGCTAAGCAAGTACTGCTACACTAGTGCTTTATATATGCAAAGGCATGAAGAAAGCTGAAGTGGTCTGGCAATCAGCGCAAACCTGACAAATTCAACAATATGATGATGTTTTCTCTATTTTCACCTGTTTTAACACTTGAACTCTCAAAAGTTTAACAAACAATTATGTATTATAATTACACATATAACGATGTATAATTAAATATTGAAGTGATGTCAATTTGAGTTTGACAGTTTAATCTAAATGCTGTTCCTAACTCAATGGAATGCTATTTATTACAGTAGGTTGCTGTCACATGCAAAACAGATGTCTTTAGCTAGGCCAAATACACGTAGTTTTCCTGCACTGAGTGATACCTTTCAGACCTTTTACCATGTGACAAACTGCACCTTCCCAGATGCCAATAACCCTTCCTCAAAGTCATTCAGGTCTATTTTACATTTAACCGCCATCCAAGCAGTATGTATGTGAAACTTCCCAAGTTTCCCTTGCTGGTCTATGCAGGTAGAAAATGGAGAATCCTTCGATTATCCATGAAATGTATTTCACTAAGTCTTTTTGCAAACAAAAGAAAAGATATATTTGTTGCAATACATCCCAAATGTTAAAACCTGAGATCACAGTGAAATTTGTTACCCATACATATGTGGAAATTGTTTGAATAGGTGACTTGACTTTTTTTTTTTTTCACATATGTAGCTATACATAAGCATACATTTGCTGCATATGTAGCAGATGCCATTTACATTTTTTCTACATATGAAAAACTACTAATTTTCAAAAATGACAAATTTAAACTTTCTCCATATTCAGCAAAACAGGTTTTTTGTCTGCATTAATAGAAAAGGAAAAGCCTCGACATTTCCATTTAGTATCTCATGTAAGGAAGTCTGCATGTATTTGCTGGTTTTAGGATAAACAAAAAAGTTTATCAGTAGTTTCTGTGAGAACTTTGAAATGTCTTTGTAATATTTAGCTACATCCTAATTACTCAAGTTACATCATGAACACAAATTAAATTCTATGCTTTTCCCCCCAGCAAGTGTAACGAGAACACTTAAGATCCACAAGGCATGGGGAAAGCAGTAGCTGTCAGCATATCACGCAGTACTAAAAGCAGGCAATACTTACACCCTCTAACTAGAGAAGGTTTTACATTCTGCTATTTGTTTGAGCATTCCTGCTTTACCAACTCTGAATTTAAACCAAAGTAAATTGTGAAAGATTGGAAGGAACCTGACTTTCCAGAAGCCTTCTATACAAAGCATCAATTTTTATTAAGCAATAATTGTGTGTGCATGTATGTGCATGCATGCATGAGTGCACACATGCAGTGAATATATTGCACCCTTATAGATAATAACTGGAGAAGGAAGAATGGGGAAAGAATTGCTAAGCTGTGTAAAAATGTATGCATTATTGCTGCAAAGCACCTGGAAGGGGAAGCTGCAAAGGACATAGCTCACTGTTCTACTATTATGATCTTACTCTCACATACAGATTTACCGATTTTCCCATTGATTACAATAGAGAATGCTTACTATTTTTCAACTTTGAACAAACAGGGACTTGAGTTTTCTTTACTAATCTTAATTTTGAGAAAAGCCTAGAGGTAATGTAGTGCTTTGAAAAAAAATGCTTGAGATTTATATAATTAGCAAACAATTTGGAATGATCTCAGCTTCATGACTGTGTGGGCTGCCACACTTCTAACTATGGTAAAGCATGGTAAGCAGCATTGTTCTGTCTCACAGAAAATAAAACATGCTTTATAATTCAGGTGTCATTCTGAAGACAAGAGTTGCTAGCCTTGAACCTAAACAGACCAAGAAAGCTTATAACTCAACTATGCGCTTCATGTTCAAACCAGCAGCAATCAAATCCATTTGCATCATCATTCAAATGGAAAACTACTGACTGAAAACATTCACACAGAAGCAACAGAAACAGCTGGATGGGCAAAGCCATGTAAGGTTACAGTGAGACAGACAACGCAAGTTTTTATCCTGTTTCCATTCCTCTAGATCAATGTGCGATGATTACTTATGCATACTACACCTTAAAAATGGTAGCACAAAGCTTCCTGCCCCCGAAGGAGAGAAGGAGTAGAAGGGTTCCAAATCAATTCTGTGTCCTTCCATTTCTTAACAGTCTGTAAAGGTGTGGTAATGCAGTCTGGCAGGCCCAAATCGCAGCAGTCTCTGTGCTGCTGTAGAGACCGCTGTGCTGCTCAGAGTCTTTACAGTTCTCATATAGCTGCCCTGCAGGTGACATACTCTTTATTTTGCTACCTAATTGCTGGGCTTTGCCATTCAGCAGCCTTTCAGAGGTCAGAAATTCCTTGAATGAAGAAATCTTCCAAAAGTGAAACCAACTATTACCACCTCTTTGCACAGGTGAAATTCCCTGTCAAAGAAGTGGCAATATTATACTATTTTCAAGTGAGAAAAGTGCCTGCAATGAAGTTACCTATGCTTTGGTAAACTGAAGCATACTAGGAAACCAGCAGTCAAATAGCATGCAGGACTGCCTAAAAATACTCAACATGCAGTTGAATTTGAAAAGAAATAGCAACCAAGACAACAGCCTGTTGTAACTGAGATCTTTCAGATGTTTGGCTAATGGTACATAAAAAAAAAGTTTATTATTACGAATATAAATTATAAGCAATGTTCTTGTTAGATTAAAAGGAGAAAAAAAAAACCCCAAACCCAAACAACAACTCAAAAATATTTTAAGGATGACCAAAAATTGCCATCTCCTTTTTAAAGGGAGAAGAAACAAGAAAAAAAAGAAAAAAAGACAAGGTTGGATGTTTTCACCTGAAATCTCAGGATATGTCTTAAAGGGGTTGTTTAGTGCTTTATCTGCAATGACTTGCAAAGTTGCAGTAAAGAACACTAATGTTTAAGTGCTCTTTTTTCTGAGGCAGAGTTGAGATTTGTTTCTGCAAATGGATACAAGGTAGCAGGTGCAGCTAGAGGTCCACTGCAAAGTTATCCAAATTAGTCAAATGTGGAAGAAACAAACAAAAAAAAGGTAATCTCTTTGTTCAGCAAGTGGAGTATGTGCCATAGTTTCTGTATATGCCTTTTTTAATTAACACTTGATAAGACAAAGGCACGATGTGGAAATAAAAGAAAACTTATTAGTTAAATGTAACAGTCTTTACCCTGAACAAATTAATAGATGTTAAGGGAAAGATAAAGTTGTCACTATGTAGCAAGTAAAGTAATTGTAAATTATTTTAATTTTTACAAAAAATACAGAATTGGTTAAATGTATATTTTTACCACCATGTTTTGCACCAACAGAAACTAGTTTGAATTGCAGTGCAAGTGCATTGTATGAGTATACATAAAAAGTATTGAAAACTGGTAACTTGTGAATTAGGCTACTGATGATGTGTTGAATAGCAAAAGCAAATGTTAAAACTCAGAGATGCTTGTTTCTGTTTATCTACAGACCTAAGCAAAACACATTTGACAATATATTTAATTCTGGTTTGAACACAGTTTAGCAATGAAATGCGTTTTTGTAATTGGAAAATGTTTTTCAGCATGCAATAATCAGAATGCAACAATCAAGTCAGCAGCAGATCAAAGAACACACATACATCTTGCAAGAGGCTAATGACAAATTGCTTAATGAAAAATGTGCTGTTGAACAGAGAACAGGTATAGACGCAACTGCACAACTTCCTGCTCCATCACACAGTACACAACTTATTTAAGCCATTTGTAATTTTTCAGGAATGTAGCAACATTATCTGAATCACTGTTTTTAAAAATAAACTCTAGTTTTAAAAAAGGTGTAAAAAAGTTTGGGTAACACTTACCTCAAACATTCTAGCAGCTGTACATCGAACAAGAGCAGAAGTATGGACAACTCCATACCATAAGACAGTTAATAGCAGCTCGTGATAAGCTGGATTTGTACTAGAAGAAAACAGTTGGGCAATCAAAACAATAACAACAACAAAACCCAACCCCCCCCCCAAACCAAACAAAAAACCCCAAACACCCCCCCAAATACTCCTAAACCCTGAATATGTTCTTTGCCTACAAAATGTAGTCTCAAGAATCCATTGCTCAACAAATCTAAAACTCCAATATTTATCCTTTCTGAAGGATGCATAACATTCATCTCATTTTGAAGGACATGCAACATGTTGCTATCTAGAAAACATTGCATTTTGAAGTTCATTTTTTTTTTAAAAACCCTTTAAGAACATAATTTTCAATAAATTATGACACTGAACTGAATGCAAATACATATCTAGAACACATCATAACAGCATGGAAAATACAAAATGAACTTCCATTTTATTCTCAATGACTGATTTTTGTGGTTTTTTTGTTTGGTTTTTTGTTGTTTCTCTTTTATGCTTCAGAAATTTTTTTACTGCTACATTTTTAATCTAGAGATTAATAGTTTAAATTTTGTGAAACATGAAGGAAAAAAAAGGAAGTATGCTCTTTATTCACCCAAAGCATCACGGTTATTAAAATTACAGCCAGATTAGCAGCTTTTAATAAAAACTTCTAATGTATTTATATCTAGTCAACTCCAAGGTATATTCTTTACCCCAGTTCCACAAAGGAAGCTTTCAGGCTATCAAGAGGAGCATGGGATAGTGAAAGCATGGTCATTACATCTTCTAAGAATCCAACCAACAGCTTGCGGTCTTCTTCCTGAAAGAAGAGCGTACAATGATAAATGGAGTAAAAGTATTGCTGCCGTTGTGATGACCTACAGCTACGAAAGAGACAAACTTTAAACAAGAACAAACTAGATTTAGCCTTTAACAATCTTATGAACTTCAAAAATGGGGTTTAAGAACAAGAACCTTTCAAAGCAAACACAAGAAGAGACTATTTCATCAACTAAGTACATACTCGTGCATAAATTACCCAAATAGCGTTACTAAAGAAACGTTTAAGAGTAGTACTTAAGCATTTTCATGGCTCCTGACAGTTTGTGATTGCTCACAGTCCACTAAACTTTTATGAGATGATCAAGTATTTATTTCTTCCTGTAAACTGCATATATGCCAGTCCATAACTGCTGGTTACTGGAGGATTAGGTAGTATTATTTATGGAATATTTATTTTAGTACTAGGTAACGCTAAAATTTTAAGACTCCAAATGCACCTCAAATGGTGATTTACCTGCTTATCCATTTCAGTAAATTTTGTGAAATCATGTTTGCAGGGGTCACAGTTAAATGGCCAAGAACTCATTTATGGAATAAGTAACATTTTGGATAAAGGCACACAGCAGCTGTCAATGTCTGAGAGTTAGCAGTGGTGAAGATGCCAGATGTCATTTTAAGATTTACTGAGTTCAGGTTTTAACACTGATGACTATCATCTCAATGTAGTAGACCTGACTAGAAAACTTTGCTTTTAAATGTGTTTACAGCTGCCCACTTATCTACTTATCTTCAAAGCACGACAGCACTGTATGTTTTCAAAAAAAACACTAAGGGTTTTTTAGTAGAATAAATCCTACGTATTATTATACATTTAACAAAGAAACAGAAAAACAAACTTACCTGAATATAACATGTAAGGACCCCTGTTGCATAGATGGGAACCGTGGCTTTTGTTAGCACTCCATTACCTGCTGTGGAATCTAATAAAACAGTGAAGAATTTAGGTTTTATATATACAAATATATGTATATATGTGTGTGTATGTAAAATATATATGCTATATATTTTATATATATACATAAGGTAGACTTGTATGTGTGTATTTTAAGTATTACATATTTACCTTTTTATATATACATGAAGAATTTATATACATTTATATGCATATATACATGCACACACGTGCTAAAATAATGCTCAAGTGGTATTTGGATGTCAGATTTTATTTGTACTTTACACACACACTATCTATAACTTCAGAGTGTTCCATTCAGAATAAGATTAGATTTTCAACATTTCAGAAAGATGACAAATTTGAGAACTGCAGTTTGAAAATGTTATTTGAACAAGAGATTGACAGTTTTTTTCCAGTTGTGGTTAAGACGAATTTTTAATCATTTGAATAAAAAGCTACTTACCTATGTTTTCCTCAGACAGTCTTAAGATTTCCTGGAACTGTGGTTTTACCTACACAAAGGATGATGAATCCCATGTAAGAAAACCTGTTACCAGTATCAATTAAGTTAGGAAAAAAATTAAGAATAAAAAAACCCCCAACACAACAGAAAAAGGACGCTTTGAAGGTACAGAAAGAAAAAAACCTTTAAAAAGCATAGCCAGCTTTTACGAAAATTGAAAGCATGAGATAAGAGTAAAAATTTCTATGGAGCACCCACACCGAGGTAGCAGTATTTAGCACTCCTGATAGCAGAAGTTGAAGTCTCTTGGCAATATGCTTAGTTGGGCTTTAGGGTTTATGGTTTTACCAAGCTATATGTAAAAAAAAAAAAAAAAAAAAAATAAAATTGTTTTGTATCTTCGCTGTCCGTGAAGTGCTCTCTTCCAAAATATAGCTGTGATAACCAGTATCGGAACAATTTTACGGAAGCAAGGGTTCTAAAGATAACTTACAGAAGGGGCGTGTAAAGCCCAGAGGCTGGTTTTAGTCTCCTCTCTGGAGGCAGCACATAATCCTAACTCCATTTTGTAATTTTATCTTTAGGTAATCCTCTCGTGTTTTATAATTTCCCTTTAAAATATTTTGGAATTTTATTCAGAAGTTACTTTATTGAGAAAAATGATGTTATTTCCTTGATAAAAATGTTTAGATACCATCTATAGAAAATATTTCATGCAGGAAAAGCATTAATTTTAAATTTCCAGTCCAGTCCAGGCTGGAGTACTTATGTATGCCACAAACACTGAAGAGTATGCTGTTCTGAAGAAAGTTGCTAAATCACTAGAATGAGGATGATCTCTCTCACTCTCTACGCCATTCACAAAGCAAATATGAAGAATACAGTTTCAAAAAAAAAAAAAAAAAAATCCTTCCTTGTTGGGCAAGATGAGAAGGCCACTCCAAAATGGTCATAAACAGAAATCAAAAGGATGCAAATAGAGGTTTACATGTATCTATGGAAAACCATCAATGTGACATGCAAATGTGAATGGTCACATAAAGTGTGGGTATTCAGACACACCGTAAATATGGAGAGTATATATCATCAAAGTACTCTTTTTGTAGAATATTTAAGGTAATATCTTACCTTAGTGTTTGTAAAAATTTTCCCAAATGTCCTACAAAGTCTCCAGAAAAATCTAGAGAACTCATGGACACAGGCAGTTGATGCTACATTGATCTTGCCAACTATTTCTATAAGCTGTGGTAGCCTAAAAATCAGGAAACAAAAGGATATTAAACACTACTCTGATCTTTTGTTTCTCTCCAGTTATATTTGTACAGATTAACTGTTTATATTAATAAATATACACACACACAGCACTACTCATTTTAATAAAATTATCTACATGTTCTGTACAATTCCTGACCCTTGAAGAAAGCAAGGATTTCAGTGCCAGAAAAGTCTGACCTGTATTTTCAAATGTCTGTTACTGCAGAATGGTATATTTAATTAGATATTCAAAATACAACAATCTTCACTTCAACAGCGAATTGATTATACTAGTGCAAAGATGAACGAAACAATATTTTGGAGCAAGTAGTTACCTATACATTCTGCTAGAAAGTTGATATTTTCTGAACAAAATCAAAGTAATTTCAGTATAAAAATTAGAATGCCTGAAAAAATTCTATCTTTTCCTCTTTAATAATTCTTAAACACAATCATACTTAAAATTCATATGTTTAATAATTGTTAAACATAAACATACCTAAGAACTATTAATTTTGACACATTTTGAAATCAGGAATCATAAGATACAAATTAACTCACAGTTGATTGACTACCCATAGCAAAGTCTCCCAGCCTGTGGTACCCTCGTGCTCTAGCTGATAGTCGTACAGTTGCAGCAACACTGCTAATTGTTCGCGGCTTCCAATGATGATGGCCACATCTTGAAGAGGCGATACGGGTCGGGGAAATCTAGTGACTGTGACAGCAGAGACAGGTGATCATGAACAAAACAAGATGAAAATACCTTGGAGATGATGACAGTAAAGATAGCTAAGAAAGTCTGAAACTCTTCAGTGCCTTCTGTGTAAGGTTATCAAATTGCTTTTTAAAAATCAGTGAGTTAAATCCACCTTTGAAGAGATTACATAAACCTCACTTAAAAAGAGAAAATGCCAGTACAGGGACATTATGGAATTATTATTGCCAGCATGGCTTCACCAAGGGCAAATCCTGCCTGACCAACTTAGTGGCCTTTTATGATGGAGTGATTACATCAGTGGACAAGCAAAGAGCCAGGGATGCCATCTATCTAGACTTCTGTAAGGCCTTTTGACACAGTCCTCCACAACATCCTCCTTAAATTGGAGAGATATGGATTTGATGGATGGACTTTTTGGTGGATAAGGAATTGGCTGGATGGTGACATGCAGAGAGTAGTGGTCAATGGCTCAATGTCCAGATGGAGATCAGTGACAAGTGGTGTCTCTCAGGGGTCTCTGTTGGGACCAGTACTGTTTAGTATCTTCATCAATAACATAGACAGTGGGATCAAGTGCACTCTCAGCAAGTTCGCAGACAACACTAAGCGGTTGACATGCTGGAGGGAAGGGATGCCATCCAGAGGGACCTGGACAAGCTTGAAAAGTGGGCCCATATGAACCTCCTGAGGTTCAACAAGGCCAAGTGCAAGGTCCTGCACCTGGGTCAGGGCAATCCCTGGTATCAATACAGGCTGGGGGGTGAAGGGATTGAGAGCAGCCCTGTGGAGGAGGACTTGGGGGTATTAGTGGATAGAAAAACTGTATGTGAGCTGACAGTGTGACTCCAGGGCGACCTTAGAGCAGCCCTCTAGTCACAGAGAAGGACTTTTTACAAGGGCATGTAGTGATAGGACAAGGGGTAATGGCTTTAAACTAAAAGAGGGTAGATTCAGCTAGATATAAGGAAGAATTTTTTTACAATGAGTGGTGAAACACTGCAACAGGTTGCCCAGAGAGGTGGTAGATGCTCCATCCCTGGAAACTTTCAAGGTCAGGTTGGACGGGGCTCTGAGCAACCTGATCTAGCTGAAGATGTCCCTGCTCACTGCAGGAGGATTGGACTAGATGACCTTTAAAGGTCCCTTCCAACCCAAAACATTCTACGATCCCTAAGAACACACCACAGATTTACAGTAGAGTGACTTGCAGGCAAGGTTTCCTGACTCCTAGCACTACACTTTAATCATCTAACTGCTACAATCTTTATATATGAAGCAGTTTTTGACACTCCCCACTCCCTTCCCCAACTCCTTCATTATTTTAATTATCAGAAGAGAATAATTCACACATAAAAAGCAAGACCTCAAAAAAATTCTAGACCATTAAAATATCTGGAGATTGAAAGCCTGCTACACCAACATTGCTTTTATTATTCTCAATTCATGACAAGCATGCTTAAAATTATTCAGCAATGAAGTTAAGCAACAAGAATATCATCTTTCCTACTGCAAAATTCAAGAACGCAAGCTTCCAGTTCCTGCAATGCTACTGGTTTAGTGAAAAGTACATGAGATTTTTTCCTCCACTTTTGTGGAAGAAGAAACTGTCAAGACTAGGCTGAAGGCTGAAACGTTTGAATTCCTTATTTCAATAGTAGCCACTCAAGGAAAAAAGTGTTCATCTTCAAATGACTCAAGTCAGCTGAACAAGTTTTACCACAGCATGTTTAATATTTTCACATTAATATTGCACAGTAACATACCACTAACTACTTTCCAAATTCTGCTTTAAAGTTGTTACCCTTGCTTTGCATCTTCACACACAGCACTATTATCAGCATGGGGCAGGTATTACCAATAAATATCTTTAAAAAGTATTTGTAACAGGAGAAAACATTCTATAGGCTAGGATTGCTGATCTAAGTATAACTTCACTATGAGGCCATTGAGTCTGCTGAGATATTACACAGATACATAACAGATGGTGAAGATCCTGCACTAGGCTGTATTTTTCCCACTTCATAAATTTTATTTGTAAGAATTAACTGAAACTGAGGCCAGCCTTCTTAAGCTATTTTTGGCTATTAGTGGAAATCAATTCTTCAGAAACCTTTAGGAAGTCTAATTAAGGATTGCTTTGCTTTCTCAAAAGCTTCTTTTAAGAAGTAGCAAGAAATAATGAAAAAGGAATTAAAAACTTTTTCTGATAATCAGGTCTCTCAAGCACAGAAATGGGTAGAAAAAGGACACATTACTTAAGGATTTGCTAAGGGACACCAATATGAAAAAACATTTAAGTGGCAAATCAGAAGGCAAAACTGTATTTTTTTTTCCACAATTTATGTTGTGTATTAGAACAACAAAGTATTTCATTGCAAGACTCTCATTGGATTACATAAAGCTATGCCTCTGGGTGCAAATAAGCCATTTTGCCTGTAACACTGCTAAGTAAATACAGAAAAAAAAAATCCAAAATGATACCATTTAGCTCTCCTTTATTCTACTGACAATCATTTCATAAATATTAATGACTTACATATTTCTTCTGCATCAATAAGCTGATATTTGCAATTAGTTAAATATCTGATAAGGGTTCATGTCACACTGATTTCTTTCATAGGAATGAAGTAGGAGCAGAAGGAGGACAGGAAGTAGAAAGATGTTTTCCCAAAAAGGGAAAAACAGAACAAAGAAAAAAAGTTGTGACAAGTCAAGACAAATCTTCCTATGGTGGAATCTGCCTTAAAAAAAAAATTCTGTCAACTCAGCAACATTGAAGAAAGAAAATTCGCAACACAACATAGGTTCCCTGAATTTCCTTCTCTGTACTTGCTATATATGAAAATACAAAATAAGGAACAGGTGGATTAGAAAAAAGGCTTGGGGATATAAACTTAAATCATTATTGTACAGACAGTGTCCTAAAAAAATCTAAAGTTTACACATAGATTCTGCAACTTATGTTTATGTAGTAACCTTAAATACACACAAATCCCAAGTGAATGAAGACTATGGACTACTTCCTGAAATTCTTCCTTTGCACTTAATAGTGACTTGAGATTTGTCACTGAATTGTACTTAAGTTTATAAAAATTCCACATATTGGAAATTAATCATTTACCTTCTATTTGTGGTATTTCTCCCTGAAGTTTAGCCTTGCTTGTGAAAGGTGCATTCTGTAGCACCAGTGCAAACAGTGAAGGAATCAATGACTGTAGAGCAGACAGATACATGTGGAGCTTATGTTCATCCAAGCCATGTTCTCCTTCCTGAAACAAACAAGACATTTACTTAAAAGCTTTCAGTTTGGATGACCTGTTGCTTAGGCATGTATTCCCTGGCAAGAGATCAACACATCTGTGATGAGCTTCTACACAGAGACACTAATTATATAGTAATTTATGCTAACCACAAGCTTTGTGTCACCATCCAAATCCCCTTGTCACCCTTAAGTCACTTCTACTCAAAAGATTCAAGCAATATAGCCTTTGGCATTTAGTAATTCATGTCGATGAACATAACTGATATTCTGAAAGAACATTTTTCAGCACATTTTGGAAATGTGAATCCTTGGTCTCAGAGACCAATGCATCTAAAAACTGAATAAATTACTTGCCTGTACTCCGAAAAAACGCATCTTGGTTAAGTGTGTTAGATTGTTATGAGATACCCTATTTTCCAGAACTTTCCAGATATCTACCAAATCAAGTGTGCAGACAAACTGGCTCATAATTGCAAATGACCTAAATAAACCAATTCTACTTGTTTTTGTGTTTAATAAATATTGCACTTTATTAAAAACTACAGTATGTGACACTTAAAAACAATTTAAATATAGGGCAAATGCACTCAGAATAACACACATCATCTGGTCACAGCTCTAAGCAAGCGTTTTCTGAACTGCACTTTGATTATTTGGCTATAAAGCAAAACATTGTTAAAGAAGAATATGTTTTTTTGGGGGTTTTGGTTTTTGGGTTGGGTTTTTTTTTTCCTTCTTCCAAAGGACAAGTAAAAGTTATGGAGTTACAACAAGAACCTCCAGAAAAATTTTCCCCCACAGACCATTAAGTAGCAATGATTTACATTTTTCTGTTTTTTAAAAAAGCCTGCATATGCAATAAAGATACAAAAAAAATTCTCCAATGTAGAAACAGCTGAACACATACCCTGAGCAGTTTTTCAATTTTATTAAGCAGTGTAGGTATAAGATGGAACTGTAAATTTCCCAGTTCTGTTGTCCAGGCAGCATAAGCAGGTAAAAATACCTGATGTGTTGCACTAACTACACGTTCTGAAGGGTCTCCTAATGCTGAAAGCAGCAGTTCAAAGCCCTGGCAAAAAGACAATAAAGAATGTAATTATTCTTCTAAAATTTGTGCTAAAGTTTACCGCACAAAACATACAGACTAGAAAAAGATTATAATCTATTTTTAAAACTTTACACTAATAAAAATAAAACAAGGTAGTACATGGAGACCTTTGAACAGATAGTCCCAACCACATCTACAAAGGTAAACAGTAGGTGGTTCAATGATCCTGCTAGTATTTCTAGAAAGTCAAATTATCAGAATCAATACAAACACATTTTTCCACTCTGCCTTCAAAAACTCAAAGACAGAAGTTCTTCATTTTCACTTATCTGAAACATTATTAGGCAGTATTAAGCTGAACTACAAGTAGGCTTTGTTGTAGTAGACAAATCTCTGTTAACAAGTGATGATATCAAATTGACTAACAGTATCAGGAAGGCAATGAAGTGGTATGTTCTTGAAGGCAGATTATGAACTGTTAGAGAAACTCCTGTATATGGCTTATCCCTGATGTTCTAATGACACTTGTAAGTATATGTTTTCTTTTTGATCTTGGTGAAACAATAAAATCAACATTAACATTCATATAAACCACCAAAATTTTTAAAAGTATCTGGAAAGATTTAATAAAAATACATGAAATTATGCATCCCCCTATTCACAAGATAACTACAGAAGACATTTTATACATACAGAACCCAAACCAAATTATACCTGTTGATATTTGTCTGGATCATCAATATATCCCATAATGATGCCAAGGCTTTTGATCACAGCTTCTCGTACCAGATCTGCCTTATCTTCCATTAGCATTTGCTGCAGCATGGAAAGTACTAACGAACTACGAATTTCTTTCTGTTTGTAAACAAGAAACATACTTGTTAAATCCAATAAAAGAAGAAATGTGGGTTTGTATCAATTTTTTAAAATAATTTGCACTTCTCTTAGTGCTCACAAACAAAATGCCTTCCTCCAACCATAGACCCCTTTATGAATATTACACAGTCAGTTTTCACAACAGAAAATGAATAAATATAAAATGTCAGCAGCCTCATTAGAGAGCCTTTCGTCCTACCAAGCACAGAACTTAGGTCCTTTATTTCATATGGAACAAAAATAACTAACAGCAAAAAACTACTACAGGCCTAGACTTAGAATCTATAATCACTGCATTGCTAAATTGGAGAAGTGTTTTTTTTAACTTGGGTTATTTTCCTCCTTCTCTGAAGCTTCAAATTCTAGTTCACCACTGATTTAATTTTGCTGCTTCTTCTGACTGGCAGCACTCTTCATGTAACATTCCACAGTGCATGAAGAACTCTATTATTGGGTGCCAATTATTTTTTCAGAAATCATTTCCTTAATTGGTCTTAACTATCTTTGCATCGTCTTTACTGAAACAAAGATGATTTTTTTCGGAACATACTGTTTTTAAATACATTTTATAGATAGATTGACCTGTATTCCTTTATAAAAAGCTATCTCCTCCTTAACATGATTTATCGAATCTCACGTATGTGATACAAAGTACAAGAGAATTTAACTGTCCAGGCAAAACATACACACTTGGGAGAATGTTTCAGTATTAATACCCACTGGAAGGTAAGGTGCTAGAGCTCCACAGGATTCTGCTACCAGTAGCCGTCTCTCTGGGTATTTGTGGTTAATCTGGTAAAAAGAAACAGAATGGATATTTGCTTTGCAGTAACCAATATTCAAAATGTGGTTAGAATGAACTGCAATGGAGGAATACGTCTGCACCTCTTAGATAAACATTGACTGTGCCCATAGAAGTTGTACTTGGGTACTAAGCAGTCTCAAATTCTTGCAATGAGGCATAAAGGCAAGGCAGATACAACCTTCTCTAGTTGTCCTATAATAGAGCTTATAATAAGAGAAAAAAACGGAGCAGCATGTATGTATATGCAGCAAAAAGAATGGTGGAAAGTGGCACGCAGGCTACTGTACTCTGAAGAACAACTTCTGAGCCGGCATGTCATGAAATACTTTGCCTTGTGTAGCACTTCAGGAGCACCGTTCCTCTAAGAACTACACAAGTGCCCCCTAGTGCTCTGAGCCAAGCTGTGTAGCATAGCACAGCTGCCTAGGTCTTGCTGAGCAACTGGGGTCAGAAGACGTATGTACTAAGTCAAAAAGTACTTGCATGCTATTGAAGTTCTCCTCTCAAGTCCAGCATAAACATGACACACCTCTAAAATGTGACTGAAAACTGCTCCTATTCCCAAGAACCTCTTGACCCTGTGCTACCTCCCCTTACCACTCAAAGGCCATTCGAAAATTCTGCTTTACAATTTAATATTGACACTTTGGAACCAAGTTTGCATCCTGGTGGAGTCAGCTTTAATGGCCTGTAATGGTTGTAAAATGAAACATGTGGTATGTTTCAATATACTTTGTGAATAAAAAAATTTAGGGTAAAATGGTGAGAGGGAAATGTGAATAGTTTGATCCTGTCAGATAAAATAGGATATACATGTAGTGCAGCTATTTCTCTCTTGCTCTGCAATGCACAGCCTTGGTAAGACAACCATCTTACCACAGAAAGGACCAAGGTACTCACTGCCTTCTTTGTCTCAGTCTTTACTGGGAAGACTTGCCTTCAGTAGTCCACAGTCCCTACAACCCATGTGGAGGTAAAGAACACAGAGGTGCCCAATGAGAGGACAAGAGGAAATGAAATACAAGGAATTGTTTTACTGTAAGGGTGGCCAAACCTTGGAACACGTTGCCCAGAGATGTTACAGACCCTCCATCCTCAGAAATATTCAAAACCAGACTGGACTTGGTCTTGAGCAACCTGCTCTTGTTGACTCTGTTTTAAGCGGGGGGCTTGGAGTACAAGATGTTCAAAGGTCCTTTCCAACCTCACCATTCTGTGATTCTCTCAATTCTACTGGCTTAAGAGAAACTACAGATGAAGACATAGTAATAAATCAACTTTGGACACCTCAACTTTATTTCCACAGCATACTGAACAATGGTAGCCGACCACTGATGTAGTATTAATGCCTTCAACTTTCTCACTATTCTGATCTGAAATCACGAAGAACTCTCAAGAAGGAAGTGTGGCAAAGATCATTTGAAAGAGACTCAAATGAACAAATCATGAGCCTCAGGACTAAACTGAAGTCTCAAGCATGGGAGAACGTTCTTTGAGTGTGTCTATCAGTATTTTGCATTCATTCATCAGTAGGGCACCTGTAATATTTTTTGGAAGTATGGATGTTTCATAGATGAGAAACATTATGGGCACACAACAGGCTGCTTTAATACCTATAGTATCTTTGACTTATGTGCCATCCTTCCACATGCAAATTCCCTGCTGGTAACAGAGATACACTTTGCCTTCTGGAGCTCTGCCTACCTGAGGGAAACAGCAAAGACTAGTTTCAACTGGTTTACATGTACTGGCAAGGCAATATAAATATCACCCCTAATATTGCAAAAACATACTGACACACTGGAGGAGAAAAGACACAAATTTCCACAAAATTTGTGTTCAGGGAAGATTATCAGCCCTTGGAAACTTAAACTGTAAAATGTTTATTACCATTTCTTTTCCTTTCATCTTTAATAAATAAGCAGTAGTCCAATTCTGGAAGCTAATTAATGGGTCACTAGTTCTGAGGGAACTTTTAGCATTCACAGAGCCTTGATCTAAAGTCAGATGAGCCAGTCACCAATTTCTACTTGCAAAGAGCAGGTAGAAAGATCGCAAAGGCTAGCCTGATAATGCTGAGCTCCAGAATTTGTGGATGAAAACGCTGAATCTTCTGAGGCCCAGTCCTTTGCATCTGTAAATAGGTTTTGGTTGGATACCAACTGCATGAATGCTTTCATGATTAAAGCATCTACTGAGAAAAGGTAGAAAATTATGTGTATTTTTGAGTTCCTTCTACAAATTCAGTCTTGTGACAGTGAGAATCAGCTGGTATGCTGCCAGAGAAAATAATGACCTGGTTTCAGTACTGCAAACAAAGTCTGGCAAACTGCATTAAATAAATGCATGATGACATATGGCTTGGCAGCCTGACATGCTGTACTGTAACAGTTGGACTTGTTTCTCTTTTGCATCAGCAATTAGCAAGAAACTGGTATGATGAAGATGTGCTCTTACTGAGGTGAAACTGTTTTTTTTAACACAGTTTAAATTTCACGAGGACTAAGAGAACAAAATGTGCTTTATTTTGTGTTCAACTACTACTGCTATGAGTCCTTCATTTAAAAAACAGATACATCAGTCATACATACAAGCACAAATGCTGCATATAATACGTACTTCTACTGTCAGAAAGCATTAAGACTACTAAAACTTGGACTTTACTGTGAAACACAGATGGCTGTGTTATGCAAGAAACAGCAGACAATTATCAGACCAGAAAGACTGTGCCATCAAAGCAAGCATTATCACTCTGTCATGGCTTAGTTATTCACTGTCTTTTAGGCAATGAACTCCCTTTTCTTCATTATGGTAGGAAAATACCATGCATTTTCACATGAACTCATGTTGTTCTGTTTCTATGCCTCAGATGAAACAGTAAGAGCATTTCAGTTTGCTTGTTCAGTTATTTCTATTAATTTAGAATATCTGTGGAAAAGGTCACTGTGATTCTAGAAGTCACATGTAAACTTCAGGCTGATCTTACAGGTGTAAAATCATGCCCACCTACAGGGGACTTATTTCTGACTACTTTGATCTTTAATGTTCTGTTTAAGAATTTAAACTGGCTGAAGTGTGGACACTGCTCCAGGGACTTAATACAATATAAAAATCAGTGAATGAAATCTTTGAATGAAAATGGATTTCCAACAGCCTGGAATTACAGTACAAGTTACAAAGGCACCTGGCAATAGGTTAGGCAATAGGTTAGGCAACACTGATGATGAGCATGTGCATATCTACATTTCAAAACAACAGACATATGCAGGTAACTGGAATCTCCAGATAGTCTTTGACAAATTTTCTGCTTCTGAGTTCTTTTTAATGTTATGTATAAAAAATATACAATAAGCACAAAGAACATGCAAGTAGCTTTCTGAAAAATACTTTGAACTGCCATTCACTAAAACACAAAACCAAAACAACCTCCCCTCAAGCAAATAAAATTCAACATTTATGAATTCTTAACTAATTTTCCAGTGTAAAGCACAAAATAATCAGTTACCTGTTCCCAACACTGTGGTAAAAGCTCAGCTTCTACACGTGTTGGTCCAACGTGTCGGGCAAATGCCACACACCCAGTTAGTATCATCTGTCTGAAAACATAAATTTAAAGATTTAATCTGTTTATAAAGTAAAGTTCTCTAATATATAGAATATATTCTTTACAGGAAAAGCAGATGCTGTCAGGCAACAGGCAATTGTCTACAGTCAAAATTTCACACCATACATACTGACTTAAAGGCTGAATCTTAAATTGAAAGCCACTATTGTTGCTGCCTGTTGCAGGGAGGATTGGACTAGATGACCTTTAAAGATCCCTTCCAAACCAATCTATTCAATGATTCTATCTTGTTTTCTATTTAATATGCCTTTTTCAGAAACTTGCAGATCCCAAACTCTGTGAACCAGAGCCTGAGAATCTCTGACTGGGGAATCTGTGACTTCCTAATGTCCGAGATTGGGAATCTCTGACTAAATCTCTCATTTAATTCTTAGTACTGAATACTATGACTCATCAAGCAGTAGAAGGGTCTAAATTACTTTTTACTATCATAATATCAGTATTTTAGTCAAGTACACATATTGCTTTTATTTAGAAGCATTTGTGAGATTTAATGTTTCATGACATGGTTTTGCAACATTCTAACATGCAAGCTACTGTCATCTCTCCCAAAATACTGGATTTTCCTTGTGTCAGAAATCTTCTAAAGCCCTTTATAAAAGGGAAGCAATTAATCAGTCAGTAGTATTTACAATCACCTAAGTCACTTGTATTTATATTCTTGCATTTTTTAACTTTTCTCAAAGTTTGCAAGAAATCCCTCTTGTTCCATCAATTTCATAGGCACAGATATATATTTAAAATTTCAATAAAATTGTACTTAACTATCATTTGGATAAACTTCTATTTAATGAGCGTTTATCTTGCCAAGATATTTTACTTCTAACTATTTCTCTTGTTAATAGGATTGAAATGGTACCAACTTCACATGCAAGTCACCAGTTCTATTTACTTTTAGTGCCTAAATCAACACTTAAGTAACCAGTTTCAAACAATACTGCATGGACATGAGACGCTCTTTTTTATCACCTCCACAGTAAGATTAGGACGCTACTGAGAATTTGTTCATTATTACTTTGTGGAAAGTAAGCCAGAATTAATTTCTTACCATTTTAGTGTCATGTCTAAAAACTCCTAAATATTTACTGCAGCTAACAATATGCCCTTAAGGTTGAAAGGCAGAGATTCTGCTGGTTATTTCTTAACCAGTTATACAATATACTCCATCAAAAAAAGACTCATTCACTTTGAGAATCTTTTCAAGGAGAAATAGTCTCTTAAAAAGATTTTTTTACCCCAGCATTCTTTAGGCTAACAATCTGAGCAAGCTCTTTGGTTTTGTGTTGTGGTGTTTGTTTGTTTTTTCCTCTCTACCACATACAGAGAACTAGACTTTTGATCAAGGTAAAGGTTGGGGAAAACAATGCAGTGATTACATAAGACTCAATAAAATCCACAGCTGATAGGTGATAGCAATATGGAGACAAAAGCCTGTGGTAATTCTGAGTTCTACAAGAAACGAAATAGTTATTTGAATGCCTGTCTTTGGTTCTACACACTGCACCTAATCACAGAACTGAGCAACAGGATATACTTTTATAAGATATTAAAAGAATCAAATAGCAGAATACAGTAATCACTTGAAATCTTCTGCATTAGAAATGGGGAAATCCAAAATGTCATTTAAAAAAAAATAAAAAAAAAATCAAACCTTCTCAAAAAAGTTCCATGAAATCTCAAAATTAACTCAGATGTTCTTTTACCTTGCCTATCAAGTAGGAAACTTTAAGATATTGCAAAAATATTAAATAATAATGTTTTAATATTTTACTGTAACCATCTTAAAAGTATATGACAACAGTCATTAGGTATTTTGGGGGAAGGAAAGGTTGTAAGGATCTCAACAACAGGTCATTGAAACAAAAAATGTTAACACTAAGCTGTTGCAAAAATTGCAGTCTAGGCTGGATATGGGAAAAACTTTCTACTTATTGTTTTAATGATCTCTTCTGTTAACAAGATGCTAGGAAAGCTTTCCTCAAAGAGCTCTCTCCAGGTTATGCACTTGTGATCACTTAGGCAGGAACATAAAGCAAATCAGGATGATTCAGCAGAGCACTAGTTTGCTTCATCAGTACAGAAACCAAAGTGAAATCAAGAATCAAACTAAAGGAACAAGGCAGAAGTTAGAGTAGAACAGACATAATTTAACACTTCTAAACTCTTTCTACAGGTTTTAGAAAGTGACTGCATGCACTGGTAAGCAATTCAATCTTGTATTACACAGTTCAAGGTTCTTTTGTCACACCTAAAGGTTATATCAAAAACTTACTAGAGTTTTCCTTAATATGTCAGCAAGTTATGTGTGTTCTGTAAGAGGTAGTATCATATGACTGATCGAAAGTCATACTAGATACACTAAGTTTAATGCGTTTTAGCTTCTTTTCATTAAGAATGCTGCTTCTGGGTACATTACTTGGAAATCTTAAAGAGTTCACATTTTGAACTATGTTGTAACCTTGTCCTAAAAGACCCCAACGTTAATCCGACTTCTTCACGGCTCCTTAGCTTCCAAAACCAAGATAATTGTCCAATAAGAAGTTTAAGTAAAGCTAACACATATTTGTTCCTTTGCAGAAAAGAATTTGATAGACATTTTGAAAAGGTGAATAGTACATTAATGGGCAAAGCCTTGATGATGTAAGTGGCCTTATTAAATATAACATTAGTATACAAGACTATGGCAATATGCTATATCTGCATGCACCAAAAAGCCTCTCACATGTGCAAGAATACAGGCTTTCTGCCTAATTGTTAACATAGTTTACAAGGTCAAATATTTAAAGTAAAATACTTATTTTAATGGGTTCATTATTAGAAATGTAATGTCACATTTCAGTCTCTTGCATTTAACAAATTAAAAAAGCCAACTTGTTATCAGATGCTACTTTAATGTATACTGTAGGCCTGTACGGTACAGCAGAAGGTAAACAATTAACATATGACATAATTAATACCATTGTTCTGGTGACTAAACCTGAATGTCTTTGGTTACTTCGTATTCCATAAGACTGCTAAAATATTATTTAAACTTCTTTAGATAAAAACCAAGCATGCATAATACACTTCCATACAAATATTTAAGTATAAAAAACCTGACTGAAATTCTAATAATAAATTCTGAATATGTTTTCTAACTAATTTGTATTCAGAATCTCTTTTATTTGATGGAATTTTACTTATTCTTCAGTCAGGTGTTATTGCAACTTTAAAACAGATTATGATTTTTACATGTGTAAATGTATATTGTGTATATACATGTTTTGTCCTGGAGATTATTTTTAGGTATAAATCTCTACCTCACAACAAAGAATGAACAACTTCAAGGAAAAAGAAGCTTGGATTTTCTTCTTTCTCAGCTGCTGAAGAGACACACCTAACTGCAGCTAAACAGGCATATGAAAAATCTACATGATAAGGCCACCAATCCTGTGACAAATTAAGTACAAGAGATTACAAGCAAGATGTAATTTCCTTCCCCTCTCAACCACAAAATAATTTAGCTTCAAGCTGCATGGGACATTCAAAATATTTTAGATAATGGTAGATGTTTCAGAAGCAGATTTCTAATAAATCTGAAGTAGAACAAGGACTGCATCTTTTTGTAATTTCAATCTGCATGATGCCACTGTGCTACAAGTTGCTTTTATTTATTTATTTATGCTTTTTTTTGTCTCCAAAGCCATCTCTTTCAATTGTACCTCATCTCTAAATTTTACCATGGGAACAATTTAGAAAGACACCAGAACACTTAAATTTCAGAGAATCTTCAAAAGGAATGCTTTCCATCTATTTCATAATGCCTATTTTGTCTGAAGACAGAATAGAGCAATGATAGATACAGATGCTTTACAAAACACCTCTAACGAAGATAATGAAAAATCTTTTCACAGTTAGAGAAGGAAACATACCAGCAAGGGTACTTACTGTCTTTCAACCTTAAGGATATTCTTACCAAGATCACTAGAAACAAAGTCAGATTTCCTGAATACTAAGGAAGAACTAAATTTATAAAAAAAATAAAAAATATACTTTGTTTCAAAGTCTTAACCAAAATAAAACAAAGCTCTTAACACTTGTCAGAACTAAATCACTGCTTCAGTCTTCTGAATTTTTTATTGCTACCATAGTACTGAACCGCAAGTAGGAAGAGTACTATTTTCTCATGCTATTTTCCCCAACTAAACATGGTAGTTAACTTACATAAAGATCACTAAGATACACTAATACAGAGGTTTAAAAAAAGCTGGTTTGATTTCTATATCAATCATTGCTAAGAATTATGATCTTAAAGCTCATTTTAACAAAGCATTTCAGTTCAACTTTAAACAGAAAAGGAACTGAAATGTTACAGTACGGCTTACCAAGCACATTCTTACATTTCAGTAACTAGAAAGTACGGGTCATGGAAATGGAAAGTCCTGAAGTCCACACAAATTTGTCAACACTATACCAGCAAAATATCAGCTTAAGTGAAACTTGGTTAAAATCATCCAATAATATCCAGTTTCTATTAGTTCTGCTTCTTTGACAAAGAAAAAAGTTCCTTCTTGTCCCGCAACACACAAACGCAAACACACCTTTGCTCATCATCTGGTCGTTTGATCAAATTGAACAGTATGTGTAGAAGCTGATCTCTCTCTTTGGGTTCAGGATGGAGGCAGGCTGTACACAGTATGAGTGGGATCAATTCCTAAAAAGTTGTGGGTAGGGGAAAACCAAACAAAGTGAAAATGCTTTGGGCATATATTCATTAATGGCAAAATAAACTAAGAAGAAAAATCTAGCCACATAACGTCAAAACAGTTAGAGAAGATTTTTTAGAGTCTTGATCTCTTATTAAGTGACCTGAAAAAAGTGAAGGTCTACAGAGGTTAGAATTATTTTCCTGCTAGGAAAGATCAGGGGAGAACCAGCACATAAAATAAAAAGCTCTGCAAAGACTACAATTAACATATGCAGGTCACCTGTAACCAGAATTAGACAATCATGGTTTAAATTGTCTTCACTACCTACTGAACTGAAGCAGGCTCCACAGACATCTGTGGAACAAAGCTCCTACAGAAAAAGCTACTTCTGATGCCATGGAGTTAAAGATTAAAATTTCCAATTAAGCATGCACACAGTTTTCTGCACAAGTTTGAATAAGCACTGAGAAACATACATTGGTAAAGGTGACTGCAGACAGAGATCCTCTATTTTGTGTTGACTGAGAACTACACGATTTTTTTTAAATGCTTGGTTTTTTGTTGGGTTTTTTTTGTTTTTGTTTTTTTTTCCAATAGAGAGGCAATATCTGAAGGTGAATTCTCTTTTTAGAGGAATTCAATTCCCTTAAGGAACAAACTATCAAGAAAATACTGCATAAAACACTAATGGAAAGAAAATATAAGGCTGTTCACAATAGTGAAGACCTCCTTCTTTCTAAGTATACCTTCAAAGCTCATGGTATTCATTCCCAGAAGAAACAAATGTTTCTAAATGTTTCACGGACTGGAAGTCCCTTTCCTTGACCTTGTTGATGTGAGCCTTTACTCCAATAGAACTTGGAAGACACATAATTTCTACGTCATTTAATATCTTAGGAACAAACATCACACTGGGATGTCGGGGGAAAAGAACAAGACAAACCTAGGTGTCTGCAGAGAAACCATGGGCAAGTAATCCGGAGACTTCCCCTCCCACCTGCCGCATACTTTCGAACCACTTTCAGCAGACAAGCCTTTTCTGAATTAATAAGCCATGACAAATAAGCAGATGACAGTGGGAAACACTTCTGAAGTAACTAGGAAAGATTATACAAAGCCCGGAAAAATCTATAGTTATTTGTAATAACTTTGCAGGGAGGTACCAATTTCTTCTCGCAGACATTCAAAGTGACCTATTCATGATCTTGAGAGTAAGCCTATTAAACAAGCTGGACATGTGGAAATAAACAAGCTGGACATGTGGAAACAACATTAAAGACACCCTCGCGGCTCAACTTGTATTAAAAGACACCCTCGCGGCTCAACTTGTATTTTCCTGAACAGCAGTTACTATGTTTATTTTAAACATAGAACAATATTCTATTTTAGAGCACTACCTAAGCTAGTCAACTCCTGATAAGCTTTTGTTTTCATTTTACAAAAATTGTACTCAGCGTGCTATTTTCACCCCCTGAAGATGACTGAGACACATCCTAAAATGTATTTTAACATTCTGGGAGATATTTTTGGCAATATTTAACCCAATTATGGCACAGATTAGGGAATTTATGATGAGACAGAGGAATTGATGTGGAAATATCCTACTCACTGCTTAAAAAAAATCTCAAAGTACAGAAGGAGAAATGAGAAATAAATTTGAACAATTTGGACATTTCTATTTCTCAATATTTTAAACTAAGCCAGTTTTGGGGTTTGTTTTTAAATAAGTGTAGCACAACGCAAATTAATGTGAATTTAAAACCTGTGTTGAAGAAACTTCACAAATTACATCGCAGTAAGAGCTACATAACTTTCTTCAGCTGAAAGCTCCTTTCCCTCTAGAATTCGCATGTTAGATTTTATCTTTAGTATACCTAACATGCAGGTTTCGTGCATTTAAAGTTCTGAGAACGCAGAGGCTTAATCTATTTAACTTTTTTTTGTACTTCACAGAAGCATTTTCTCTTCTACAAACACTGTTTTAACTCAAAAAGATTTGAAAAAATATTATAAAAATACCCCCCCTTGCCACTCTAAATACCACTACTTACACATTAAGCTAAGATCTTTTAAAGAGGAAATCAGACTGCAATCTGTAGATACACAACATAATTACGAATTTCACCATAAAGAATATAGGTCATGGAAAAAACTTTATATCAAAATAAACCTGTGTTACTTTACTGAGATCTACCTTTCTGAAATCTACCCTGAGTTCACTTTATCCAACCGCTCTTGCAATTATTCTTAAGTACTCCATATAAAGTTTTTTTTTTTAAAAAGAATATACCCCATGAAATGGGACATGTATATTTTTTTTATGATCTGGGGTTTTTGATTCATCTATTGAAACCATCACACTGACTTCACTTTCCTAGTATGTTTGAGTACCTACTCAAAAAACTCAACTGCTCGCTCAGAACTACTGCTAGATTTGAAACAGTGTCATGAGCTTGTTTTTTTTCTTTTAAAGCTTCTTTTCAAATTTAAGGAAGTTAACAAAGTTGATTTTTCCAGCTGACTCTGTATGAAAGGAAAACACCTCCAAATATTCACCTAGATACTACTACCTTGTGTGTGAAAGGCTAATGAGTAACCTAACACCATTGACATGGGGCAGATACAAGGCTGGTTCTTTACCTTGCAGAAAGCTGGTTATTATAGCTGACGGAATTAGCTGTTTGTTCTTGTCCATTGGTCACATTCTTTCATGCATACTATGGGAGAAGAGAGTGTTCTCTGCATCGCTGCATCAGTGCTTCTACAGTTCCTTCTATTAAGGGGAGTGGAGAAACAGTGAGAAGTCTTGAACAGTGTTTTATGTGCTCCCTATAGACTTAATGGACAGGAGGGTAAAACTGGAGGCGAAAGGGACTTTCTGTGGGACAAGAACAACAAAACTGCTCTCACAGATGGACAAACCAGGTCAGGTGAAGTCTCCCAAAGACTTAAAAGGGGACAGATTCTTCTCGGGATATTCAGGATCATTAAGAACAAAAAACAACCTACAGGCAAGTTTGAGCTCATTCCTTCCTGTTGCTAAGGGCCACGCCTTAGATGTAGACTTGTTTAATAAATCTCAGATTTTTCATTCTCAAAAAAAGCAGAGAAGTGCTGTAGAAAGTGGTAATTTTCCAATAAGACACAATAATATTAGCATTTGGCTGTTTAAATTCAAGAGGAGGGTTCATAACATTGTTATGGAGACTGTATATAATTATTAATAATCAAGGAGAGGACTTCCAGTGCTATTTGAAACACTCTGCCTTCCTTGGGAAGGAATACCACTTGTGCTGACAGTCCTAAAGCAAGAACATAAATTTTAAATAAACCAACCACCTTCCCTCTACTTAATTTGGGATCCTTCCTAACTGTCTTGTTCATCCCCAAGTCCCTCTTTTCCCTTTTGCCTCTGACTTAGGAAAACTGATTAGTTCCTGTTGGTATTCGTCAACAACACCAGGAGAATTGACTTTCATAACTATGACACTGTTTTTCCATTAGATGCCAAGCAGAATAAAACATCATGTGTCAGAAGTCTCACCTCCACTACTGAAAAGGCAAGTTCATATCTGAGGCAGTTTATATCTGTGAGATACTCAGATGTAGAATAGAGAGAAAAAAGTTATTTTGTTTTTACTGTGAGATAGGCTACATACAGGTGAATGACGGACAAAGCTATGAAGCTGACCTAATGCATTGCACAGGAGAAATGAAACAGCCCATCTTCTCTCTGTTCTACCTCTGCTTAACTGTCCACATAGGTCTACCCAAAGAAAAATTCAGGTTTTTTTTCATCATAGTACCTTTGGACAACTTCTCCCTAACTTACAACAACATGTTCCATTATCTTTGAACAGGATTCACTATCTGAGCTGATTTAAGTTCTCAATAAAGGCAACATTTACGTACGGAGCAGCTCTTCATTATGGTCAAAAGAAGGTGGCTTTTTAATGGTAACTGGTATCACCTCAACTATAGGTAAAACAGTTCCTCCTACATATTAAAAGTATTAAAACAAAATATTAAAGTTTGGGTTTTTTTAAAATGCAGCCTATAGCAAACATTTGTCTATTTTTCTGACAATTTTCTTACAAGGTAGCAAGAAATTTTCTATCTGTGTTGTTGCCTTCGTTATAACTTTTCTGTTTAATGTTCTGACAAAAGTCTTCTACAACTTAGTTTCTCTCACTAATTAGTGTCTTTTTGTTGGAGTACTCATAAGCAAAATACTTATCTCAAAGTATAAAGTTAATTAGTGTTAAGTGTCAAGACTAGTTCTTTCAATAGCTTAGGATAGTAATCTTTTTTATTATTTCAAATATTTATGTAATAATATGGCAAACAGCTGACAAAATATATAAACCAGGATGACATTATGATTTATTTTGTAAATGTGCCCTTTCAATCTTCTCTAATAGTCAATGCTTATGTTGTGAACCAATGTTATGTTAAAATTCTTCTGTAACTTAGCCTCTGAAAACCAGTAAATAAAATCAAATAATCTTATCTGCAGCAACTGAAATAGGTGCAGGTACTAAACAAACTACTGATATGGAGTCTCTTGTGCAAGAAGGTATCTGAAGTTCAGAATTCATCCTTTTAGTTTCAAAATGAAAAAATATTTAATCATAGGATTAATACATGACTCAGAACTTTGTGCTACTCATCTTACTAATATTAAAATTACAACTATAATTACATTTCATGGGATGAGACTATTATTCCAGGATCCAAATTAAGCCTCTTGTAGATCCCAAAGGGATGCTTTTACATAAGAATCAATGCAGATATGGGTGTGAAAAAACTTTGTATTTCTTTGTTTATATCTATTGTTTACCTACATATAAAACTAGTAATAATTGGCAATTCAATTCATAAACATTAAATTCAACTCCTTTAATATGTTATGCTTAAAGACATGGTGTTGAAAGACATCAGCTTTCAGACTACAGTTGGAAAGGATACTCTGTGAGATTGAGCTATTTCTTTCTAAGAAAACTACACTAGCCCCTCATATCCAGAGAGGGAAACTAAAGGACTTAAATTACAAAATGGTTATGTGTGTCTCTTGTGTGTGTGGGGCAACCCCACACCCAAACAAAAAAGCCCCCAAACCAAAACCAACACCCCATGCAAACCAGAAAAGAACCAGTAAACAGGCTGTGGTCAACACTACCCCTATTTTTCAGAAACACAATCTATAAAAGCCTACCACAATCTAAGTTTTACAGAGTAACAGAAAGTATTTTAATTGTTCATTTAAATTTTTCTATTCTCCACTATTCTGTGAAATAGAAACACTGTTTAAAGATACTGATGGCTGACAATTTTCATGCTGAGGAACTCTAAACTTACATGCCTTTAGCCATATCCAACCAGAATGACATTTGCTTGACACAGCCACTAGAAACAGCCACTTAAATATACTCCCAAGCTCTGACACAGCATTCTTTTACATTTTTTAACAAAGCCAATTATTTTATGGCTTTTAAAGTGTAAGACTGAGATGAAAATCTGTAATAAGATGTTCAGCTCTACTGTGTTTTAAGAGACAGCTACCTCCAAAAAAATGCCAGAGAACTAAAGTGCCTCGGTGATGTCTATGCATAGTTACTACACATTAACGTGAACAGTCTACAGCATTACTTTCTTCTAGCAGAGTCGAGAATGGCACCCGTTCAGAGTTTGAAGATTCAGCGTTACCTTTGCTTCAACTTTACAAAGAAATAAAAGCAAAACTCTACTCTTAACATATTAAACTCTAGGTAAATAACAGTTTCTTAGTATAAAAATTTAGTGGTGCACATTTAGTAAACCATTACTATCATGATTTTGCTAAGTTTGTGTAACACAAATGAAAGTTACAGAAACTAACCCTGGAATAATAGGTGAGATGAAAGGTATAAATAATTAAGGAAAAGTGTTTCTTGATTAAGAGCAAGAGTAACAAGATCCTGATATTAAGCCAAAAAGTTTACTCTGGCACAAACTCCGCTAAAGGACTACATACTGCAGAACACAGAAGTTGTACATACAAACAAGGTTACTCCTGTTACCTGACAAAAAGATATTGATTTCTACATCTTATAAAGGGTGAGAAATCAGTATGGCACTGATTAGTTATTGCAAAAATTTTAGAAGATTGCTTTTCTCTAATTACATTGTAGCCAAAGGAATCTTTTTATCTTCTTGACAGATAGAAAGTGGCTGATTTTTTTTTTTTTTAATATTAACTGTGTTTTAGTTTTAAGTGGTAAAAACACAATTGAGGAAGCAGATTTCAATGCAGATGAAATTTTATGAACTCAAGCTGCTCATCTGCAAGAAGCGTTATCACAGACTGCATACCCAGCCAAAGGGGTTTTTTTGAAGAATAGGGTTTTAGCAGTTTTGTTACTGTTCATTCAAATTAGTATTTGGCTTGCAGTATCTCCTTTGTTTGTGGGTGCATTCACATACAAATCTAAATATTGACATAACTGTTTTCAAGCAGTTAGGATAAACTAGACACTTGGGAAAAAAACAAAATTAAATTTATATGTTGATACATGGAATTTTAATGACTATGAATTGCTTTCAGGCAATTATCCTATATTATGCATTATTGATTTTACCCAGCTGAACTGCTCTTTTAGAAACAACTAAAATTACCTCCTCAGCCACCCTACTCAATATTGTATTTCTCCTTCTTTCTTATCTTCCATTGGAACCTAAACTACAGACATTGAAGAACAATTAAAGCTGCACCAATGCAGAAAAATAACGTAATTTCAGAAACGCGTCAGACATTCTGACACTAACTGATCATTCTGTTGTCAACTGTAATATTTACTGGACCACTTATTACCAAGGCAGGCAGGCTGCTACTGACCTTAAGAGGGTTAAAAGCATTGGTGAAATGGCTTCTGAATCTCTGGTAAAGGACAATACCTACTGAGAGACTGTCAACCTCCACAAACCCAGTTACTGCAAAATGAAAATGTATACCACAATGTTTTCAGCTTAAGATTTTGCAAGCCATTTCACCATGATGGATGCTTAAAGAAAAAAGATAGGTACTTTAGGGAGTCATTACAAAATTATGTTTAATTCTCACTTCTAACACACTGACAGTGTAAGATCTTAAATACTACTACTGTGTATTTTCACTTTGGTGATAACTTTGCATTACAACCTGAGCCTGTTACACATCTTTCTAAAATTAGTGATGTTTTGGTACATTTTTACACCACCTGTCTGTAAAATTATGCTAAGACTCTCTCATGATAAGGTTGTTTTTGGACAAGACCCAAAGTTGTACCTTGTTGAAAAGAGTCCAGTTCTTAGGTTAGCTTTTCGTAATACTGATATTAATAAATACTAACAGATGGTCTACCCAAGTTTTCCTTCAAATTCCATGACTACATCTGAAAGAACATTACAATAGTTATAGCAACGGGTGGTAACTGAGAAAAGTTATTTTTAAAGCAAATTTCAATTGGAACGTTAAGCATCCCATGCAATCCAGTTACACAATTCTCACTTGCGGCTTTTTGAAATCAAATTGAAACAGATGATCTGTTTAAGGCAAAAATACATGTAATCAAATGTAACTTGAACTGTAAAACAAAGTAAATATAAAATAGCCTAAAAAGTCATGGAAATATTAAATGCATAACACAGATTATGCTACAAGCTGTGAAAAGAAGCCGAAATACCACATCCTGCCAAGCAGAGGGAAGGAAAGGAATAAATAAGAAATCAGAAATTAAGCACTGATCCAGGAACATTCACAGAATTATTCTGAAAGACTATTAACAGAACCATTTCCAGAGCACCCAGTTAACACCCCCACCCCCTCAGAAAAAAAAACCCTTTTATAAAGTTTGAGACTTTCAAAACGTGGTACATCTCAAACTCACCATGTCAACTCCTGATAATAAGTCATATGTTATAAAATTTTAGGTTATAGGATCAGTACAAATTTCTTGAGGATTTTTCAAAGCCTTAAAATGAACTTATGCAAAACGCACTACTAAGTCTACCATACTGTAGGTCCCCTCAGCAAGGACTAAAACTTACTCAACAAACTATGCTACTTCAAACCCTTTATTTTGGTGTCAACTATAAGGCCGCTGAATTTTTGTTTGATATATTTTCTGATTTTTATTTTTTACACATTTGGTAGTGTGCAATATTTACAACAAAGCAATACAAAACCAGTCATCTTTTTTCCATCTTCAATAACAGTCTTCCTTTTCTACACTATATATTATGAATGGTTATGCAAAACACCATCTTCATTTACATTCAAAATAAACATTACCTCTTCATAATTTTATTTAGCTTCATTTTAAATTTAAGGAAAACACATAAGCAAGATTGCTAATTTTCTTATGAACCTTATCTTGGCTGATAAATGGAGCTTCTAAAAAAAGACAGTAAAATAAATTTTTTGTTGAAGTACATAGTGCTGCAAAAGAACCTGAACATGAATCCTTGTTAAAACTGATAGATAAAATAAACCAAATTTAATGTTTGAACTTATAACCTCTGCTCTTTATAACACACATTAACCATGGTCTTCTCTAACAAAAACATTCGTGCTACCACAAACAGATGGACCTACAGTAACAGTTACTCTTGCTGAATGCTAATGGGTGCCTTAAGCAAAGGAAGAAATATTAGGATACCATGCAGGTTTACTGAACTCACCTGACAGAGGTGTAAAACCATTTTCTAGGAGCAGAGATGCATGCACAAAAGTAAGAACATGATTGCAAGTAACAGACTTTCATGAAATTAGACACATCATCTTCAAAATGAAGAAAACATCCTGGTAAACAAAAAAAGTAAAATTTCAGGGTTCCTCACCTCTCGCTTTGCAAGCAGCACATTAGGAACAATATGAGGCAGGCAGCGTCCCAACATTAACATGACACTTTTTTCACTGTCTGCAATCCGAGATACCTAGAAAACCAAGTTGTTTGTTTGGTTTCTTCAAATGAAACACAGGAACAGGAAAATATTCTTTCAGAGGAATTATAAGAATTGCAACAGGCTGATCACTTACCAGAAAATATTTAATTTACTCACACACGTTAAGCCGTAAGTTTTTGTAACTTCAAAAGCATGAATCCACTTGTGTGACTCAGAACTTCCCAGTAATTACATGTCTATCACTAGCTTTCATATTTAAGCTAAAATCTGAAAGAATATCCTTATTTCTTAAGTTTCATGCACATAAATTTATCTCACCATATATGTTAGTAAGTCTTGTTTCAAAGACATTAGTGCTTGTTTAACTATTGCTGCCATGCAGAATAAAGGATCTTCTACTTTATGTCAACTGGGAAATATACCTCTGATCCCAAACGGCTGTCTGCTGACATCCGACAGAAAGACAGTAGTGCTTGATGGAAAGCTGGTGACAATTTCCTGAAATATTGTCAAAAAGGGAGGGGGGAGGGGAAAAGCATAGATAAGAAAGGTGACTGAACAAGTCTTTTCACTCTGGTTTAATCAGCTAAGTAAAATGACATTCAGCAAGCATGTTTTACATGAAGCATACTGCAGAAATTTTGGTTTAAAATTATCTTTGACTGTTAGGGTGTTTAGTTTGTAGCAAGAAAAAAAGTGGGTGTCCTAATTAAGAAGTTACTTCTAGTTCTGCAAAATGTAACATCTTCCAAATTGCTGCACAAACAAAAATAGGACTAAAGCATGAAGAAAAGGAAGCTTTAGCAATACAAGAGGAAGCATACAATTATGCAAACTGGGGGGGAGGGGGCAGAAATCACAAGAAACAGTATTTTTGCTTAATGCTCTGATTCTGCACATTGCATAAAAACATTTGAGTCAGTCACTTAAAACTTAAGGATTAAACAGAGATTGCTCAACTGCCGCTTTGGGATCTAAACATTGGATTCAAACGTACAGCAAGAACCTCAAAACTAACCTTAAACTGCTGTCCAATCCCTAATGTAGACGTATATCTGTAGAAGTACTGCCTCATGGCCGTGCACAGCACCAGCCAACACAGCTGAGCTACTCAAAGCCTTAAGCATACACATAAAACCCTGATAAGAGTCTCAAAACAACCTTGTCCGAGAAGGGTAATTTGGCAGAAATGTTCTCAGAAAACAATTACCAGACTGACCATTACATAAAACAGACAAGCACCATCAGCAGCAGCATCCTATTTTTCCCAGTAATGATAACTCCCTCTGCCTTATCTGAGGCCTGTATTTAGATGCTAATCTAACACTGCCTCATCCACTGTGATCAAAGAGGAAAAAGAACATTTCTCTTCCAAAACACGCACAGAAATCATCTCATTCTATTATCATTATCATCATCATCTGCTGTTTGAATCCTCTAATGACACTATATGAGTTTAAGGTAGGGGGTGACTCCTATTTCTTACATGGAAAGTGGTTATCACCTTTCAACTCTTAAAAAAGCTTTTTGTACACTTGAGCACAGAAAATCCTACACATGTGCAATTATGCGTATGGACACATATGTTTTTATCTAATAGATTGAAACATCACACTCTTTATGGAAAATACATCATCATTCTCCCTTTTCTAACCAAAAAAAGCACATTAAGAATCTAAGTTCCTACGTATAATTGTTTAAGCTAATCCAGGAGGACATGGGTAAATATACCAGAGTAGTTTTCCTCTTCTGACTATTTACAAAATATGATAAATAAGAATATGTTTATTACTTAAAATCAATTTTTTTTCTTGACAGTATGGGTTTTTTAAAACACGTTTTAAATTTTAGTGAAGTAAGTTGGTTTTAGTTCCAATCAGCTTGATTTTGTGCAAGGGTTCACCCTAAAAAAGTTACTAAACAACTCGGATGGTAGCAAGTTGTAAATGACTTCTGTTTAACAATACGTTAGTCCTTATTCTGTAAAAGTATTCCTGAATGACAGATTTACAGGCTCTACTCAAGGCTTTAAGGTTTATTTACACGGGGAGAACAGGAGCAAGTGTTGCAAAGCAGCAGCTTACCATTAAAAGAACGGCAAGGCCTTGCCCAGCCCTTTGCCCAGGCTCTCCCTTACCTCAGCATTTGAGCCGCAGAACATCAGATCCTTCCCCACTTGAAACCTTAATTAAAATCCTACATAAGGGCAAAGTTCTATCCCCATTTTGCAGAGACTGAAAACTAACTAAGTATGACAATATGACACTGAATTTCCCTGTGGGTTAATTAACAGCAAGCTCCAGGCAGCACGGATCCCATTACGATTGCTGGCTCTATTTAGAGTCAAGAAAGCGTCTCCTGGATGAAGTCTAGTAAAATCCTTCATAGCTATGCTGGAGAAAAACAATGACAGACCCAGGCCTCTTGCACATGAAGCACTACTAATTATTCCATTTAACACTGGGACAACAAGAGAGTCAATTCACTGAAAAAGTCAGGAGTGACTGCTACATACAGAAAACACCTTGTATTTGGTGCAAACCACAACACCTAAAATGAGTTGAATAAATACACGTGGTGCAGTCTATTCAAACGGCTGCTAGTGCTTTCTACTGCAATCTGTTAGAGGAGGCATTTTTCCAACGATGGCCACGTCCCTGTTTGTGGGCACGCGCGCACAGCTGCTGCAAGTGCAGTCACACAAAGCAGGCTCACTTGTGCTTCTATCCTCTCTTCCCATCTGGGCAAGGTTTATGCCAAGAATCCACTCCCTAGCTACACTAGTAACAACCTTGCCTTTTAGGATAGAGTCTTAGTTTTTAATACCTCTTAATACATTCTGAATAAATTGTAGTAATTGGCTTCTACAAATAACCACCCCAGACTGAAATAAATAAATATCCAGCACTTCTATCATGCTGCTTCTCCCACGGATCTCAAAATACTTAACAAATAATAGAATTCTAATGAAAAAATTTACTGTATTATTACAAATCAAGTGCATAATCCAGGAAAACAATTTAGTGGTACAGATCTATAAAACACTGTATCAAATACGGTTTCCTTTGACCCTTCACTGACACGTTAAGCCCAAAACTCAGTACAAAAATAGCCACGTATTACGCTTGCATTACTTATTTCTGCAGTGAACTGCATTTGAGGGGACTTCTGAAGTTAACTCAATAGGGATTCAAGGCTTTATTCAACTACTTTTCAAATAAATCCATGTGTAGTTATATTTAAAAGAGCTGTGAGCAGCAAAACAAATTTTGTTTTTCTAAAAACTACTGTCATAAATCCCACTGGAGATACTCATAGTTCCTTCCACACTCAGTGATCTCATCCTATTTTGATACCCATCCTCACTACCCCCAAACCATCAATCTAAAATTCATGCACTTAATGCCTCTCAGCACTCCCAATTATTCTGAGGAAAAAGAAACTTGCAACAAGCCACAGACAAAAGTAGGTAGACAAATTTATGGCAATCAATGTACGACAGCCATAAGTTTTAATTATTACAAAGTCATTACACATTCAGCTAGAAAATGAAAGAAATTTAAAAAAAAAAAAATCTGGAAAGCTTAAAGGGAACCACTGCAAATTTTCCAGAAAAATCTAAGTCAAGTTTTACTTTCCTGTTAAACAGTAGTATATTCAATTAGGAGAGAAGAAATTTTTAGTAAGACTCAGACTCTAAGGTACTGTATTCAGAAATCAGAAATCTTTCCTCCTGTTCAATTCTGAAGTTAAGATATCACTGAAAAAGTGCCCCTGGCCCTAGGACTCAGTGCAGAAGTTAAGGAAATCCAGAGAAAACAAACAAGATACTTAGGGTTTGCATGAAAATTTAATTACTAGCAGAGGTAGAAACTCTTGTTTTTTCTTCTTTCTTACCCCCCCCCCCCCCCCCCCGCTTTTGTTTTTTCTCCCCCCCACCAAACCACACAAA